CGCGCAGATTCTCATTAATATATTATTAATAATATATAATATATATTTACATATCTGTGAAATGTCAAATCGTAAAGATATAGAAAGTTAATTAATGGGCAGACTTGCAATTGTTTTTGCGATGTATAGAGAGAGTTAAACTAAGAGATGGATTATCATATTGATGTCTAGACCCAAAATAGAGACTCGATCTGCATTGTGATGTGTCGACCGTCTGTGGCTGCGGCAGCAAATGACATTTTCGAGGGTAATCAAAACCTCACTAATTGGCCTTGTAACGCAATACTTGGGTCAGCGCACAGCGACTGTCATTAGGCCGGATCTCGGATCTGTGCATATCTATATATACATATTTATTTTTTTTGGGATCGGTGCGCTTCACTGGCTGTCCATGAATGAGCTGAAAGTGCAAGGACTCGAGCACTGTCTGCTCTCAATTAAAAAACAGCAGCAACAACAACAGCCAAATGCCATAATTGAGCAGCATTTGGTGGGGATGGGATTATGCATACCAGAGGATGGGCACACATAATGGTGCGGCACGGACTCGAGTATAGGATAACAATTATTTAAAGGATTTGACCAGAACGGAAGCTAACGCTGCACCGTACTTAACTTGTGTCTTTTTTTTTGTTTTGTTTTTAGTCTGCCCATTCTCGGCCCATTTGCCATTTTTACAGATACTTCCGTCACGGAAGTGTCTCGGCCTGAAGACCACTCGCACTCGCACTCATCCTTTGCCCTTTGCCTGCGCCCGTTTGTATCTCTTTTTTGGCCATTATCTCGGCGGGCAAGTGTCTATCTGTTTGTGTGTGCATTTTGCATATGAAAACAAACAAGTGAACGAAACGCTGCATAAATATATATATACATATTTCTGTCTATATGTTGGACTGAAGAACTGTCTAGCAATCGGTCCGGTTCGGTTAGTCTTTTGCTTTTGTGTCCTGTCAAGCGGCACACGTGTAATCCTTGGTCAATTCTTAAACACTGGTCATCACCTGTACCGCTTCCTCTGCCTCAGCCTGATCCATTCGCCTTCCTCTTCAGCTGCTGTCTGGATCTAACTACTTCCTCATTAGCCTGTGCAAGCTGTGCACTTCAGCTGAATTGGCTTGAATTGGCTTATGGAACCAAAATACAACTAAATACACAAAAAAAATGCATAAACATTTTTAAGTCCCAATCTCTGCCTCTCTATCTCTCTCTCTCTCTCTCTCTCTCTCTGAGACATGTGCAATCCTTTGTTTCGTAACTTTGAGTTAAATCCATTTCCGTTGCGAACATTTTGCTGTATACTGAATGTGGCATAAACTTTATGCTACTTTTAGGGATTTACTATATGATACATAGAATTATGATTAAATGATGCTTAACTTTTGGATATTTGGGCTACTAAATAGAGTTTTTAATCGATTGTCGCCATATTAGTATATTCTTTATATAGAGTCCCTAATGTTTTATCATAATGATGTCTTCTATCGATGATCGAAAACGATAAATACGGGTTTTCAGATTGGACTTTTTGCCATATCTCGAAGCTTATACGAGCTACAGATGCCACATCTAGGATGTAGTTACCGTTAGAGTATATTTACTCGAATGCGAATCGGGCTCGCAATTGATTTGTCCATTACGATGGCAAATTTCAGGTACGGCTGATAGTGCTGCTACCCTCTATCAAAGCCGAGGCCTGTTGGCATAGAAAGTCAACCCATTCTCATGACTTGGCTGTGGGATATAATAATAAAAATGTTGTCAAACTATTTGGCGTATGACGCTGACAAAAGCCAAGGAGTTAAATTGAATTCCGCGAACTTTGACCAGCACCCGCAGCCGTACCCGCAGCCGTACCCGAACTGGGAATAGGAACAGGACCAAATAACCAAAAAACCCCTTTTAGTCAATTAGTCGCTGATTTTCTTTGTCCCGTTTTGCAGATTTTTATTTATTTATTTATTTTTTTTCATTTTGGGTGGCATAATAAAAACGTATTCACAATGAAAAGGTCGCAAGGCGGCGAACCCTTTGCTTTATCGACAGTACCAGGACGGCGTACCGCTACGCAGTATGGTAAAAAACAAAGAAACGCTACCATAATTTTGACCTGTGCGTGTTCATATTTTCCGCCGAAGCGTCCATTATGCAATAAAAAAAAAAAAAAAAAACATTTCCAAGTTCTGTTTTGGGCAATAGAGGCTAATGCTTAAAGGGATATGTATAGCAACCCGTTCGGAGCGCCTTACCTGGCCATTTTCTTGTATATATTTTATTACAGTTGGCATAAAAAACACGCTCAAGGCCGTCACACGGGTAAAGGATTGCACAAATATTGCATCTTTGTTGGCCCGGCCAAAAAAAAAAAAAAAAAACGGCGGCCAGCTCATTATATTATCAACAACAACAACAACAACAACTACAACAACAGCAGCGAGCACTTTTTTATGGCATCTGCCAGTTTTTTACGGTGCGGCCGGCCACGGTACGGCCGGGTAGAGCCCGGTACGGTTACATTTATTTTTTCTCTGAATCTGGTTTTTACTGCGAAATTGGCAACTCTTTGGCAACGGACGCGACTTTTTATGGCCCACAGGTAAATGGCCAACTCAATGAGCAATATTTCCTTTCTCCTCCTCTCTGGGTGTGCATATGCCTGTCTCGCTCTCTCTCTGACTGTGTGTTTGTGTGTGTGAGTGTGTGCGTTTTAGTTTAATCCACTATTTTTACGGTTGGATTAGCGTTGGATTAGCATAAGCTCGCGGTTTTTTAGAGATAATTAAGTGGAAAGTTGTTGCCTTCATTTCTTTTTTGTCAATGGAACACGCAAAAGTGAATGAGCTGTGAAGGAGGGCATATACATATATATAGACGACTGGGCTGATCACAAAATAATATAGGGCTAAACAGAGCTGGAGTTTCGCATGCAATCAGGTCGTTAACAAGTTTTGCTGAAAATCAATTTCCCAAAATTATATGATTGCCATATTTTATTTACACACACTTGAGGCTGGCCACTTCCGCTTGTCGCGACATTGTAGATTTTGAAATATATTTGCAATCCCAGCGCCGTTACAAGGGCCAAACAGTTAAGTAAAGTTAAACAAAGGCTTAGGCGCTGCCATTGCCATTGCTATCCCACGCTCTGGAGCGGCACGGCGACGAGCCGATCCAAGAGGATGTGTGTGTGTGCCTGATTGCCGGATGGGTAAACATGTGCGCCGCACAATGGCGGCGGCACTTGTTGGCGGCATGAATCAAAACTGGCAGCGAGCACGGCAATTGGCGACAAAGACAGAAAGAAAGAATGGACAAGAAAAAACCCTTGATCATGGCCTTGGCGCGAGCTGCTGGCTTCCAGGAAGGCTTTTTGGGTCGCAGCAGGAAAGCCGCCAGCAAATGGAACGTCGAGTGCAATGCCTGGTTAAAAGGATGCGCTAACCCGCGAAAGGCTCGCCAGCCCAATTTCCATAATTTGTCACGCACAATCATTTGTGTAAGATGTGCACAAAATTCGCAAACACACGCACACACCAGCACACACACACGCACACACACACACAGATACACACTGTGCCCAAGTCTGGGCTGGTCGGCAAAAGGATTCCGCAGACAAATGCGCAAAACAAACGGATTTAACTATTCGTAACCCTTGGCCTTAGCAGCAGATCTCCCACTCCCACTCTTTCTCTCTCTCGCTCTCTCTGTCCTTCTCTGTCTCTCTCTCTCTCTCACTCTCTCTACGCACCTCGTTTGCATACCCTTTCTGCTGCCCGCTGTGGCAGCATCGCCTAAGCCAGCAAAATAATTTACCCTAATTGCTTCTAGATTTACTTCTAATGTCGCGCCTCGTCTGGCCTTAACTAGCTCCACAATTGTTCTAACTTACAAATGTGTCTTTTTAAAGCACAACTGATTATATCTTGGGTTAGTGTAAAAATGTAGGTTTGATTACAAGACACAAAAGAATTGCACAAACTTCTATTTCATTCATGTCCAACTTAAATATGTTTAATATAATTGTGCCCTTTCGAACACTCAAAACCTGAACTTAACCTCAAATTAAACATTAATTCGATCCTTACTTTATATATATTTGACACAAGTTTGCTTGCTTTCGAAATTATGACAAAATCTATTAATAATTTCACTATTTATGACTATAGAATAATATATTTATTTATATTCCTAATAAGTCTGGCGTAGATTGTAAAACTTCTTTCTAGAAAAAATTAGTTTAATAATTTTTGTACCAAATTCTAAAATCTCTATTCAAACACCAAAATGAACTCTTTTTGACCAGAAGCTAGTATTTTTTTAAGATTATTATGAAGATCTTATAACTTTTACTAGAGTCTAGTTAGTCTAGTCTGGTCTAGTTACTAGACATATGCATAGTTTTTTTTCTTTCAAAAAGAGCATTCAAAAAGAAAAACTAACCTTTTTTGCCTTAAAAGAAATAAGAATATAAAATCAACTTGCAAGAAATCGTAATACGCGAAATAAAATACAGAAAAAAAGGAAAAACAAACAATTCAAGCAAAATAAATACAACAATTTTTCGCGATAACTGCATAAAACTAATGCAAAAAAAAACAAGACGGGACGACAAATATTGAATATATATATATATATATATATATATATATATATGTATATATATATGTAAACAGAAGAAACTCGAAAAAAGGGTCAAGCGAAAGCAAACCTCAACAACCCTCGTAAAACCCTTTGAGGCTGAGCGCAAGAGAGCGCGAGTGCGTAAATGAGAGAGAGCGAGCGAGCAAGCCTGCGAATGAGCGAGCGAGAGAGTAAGCGAGCGAGTGTGAGTGTGTGCGACTCACCCCTTTGCCTTTGCGCTAGCCACTGTTGTTGTTGCGTGCGTGCCTTGGCTACCTGCGCCAGCCGCCATTTTCTTGCTGAGCGGGGTGCGAGTGCAACGGTAAATGAATGAAGCGAGCAGCGGGCCGCTGCGTCGGCGTATATAAGGCGGCCGGAATGTCAACTCGAAATCAGTTAACGTTCGACAACGTCAGAGCACAGACAGACCGAACAACAACAACAGCAACAGCAACAACATCAGCAGCAACAACATATACTTTGAGCAACATTTTTGGATTAGCAGCAACATGTTGATGCACGAGAAACTTTTGACTGGACAGTTCTTTGATTTGAAGACTGGTAAGTGTAGCCACGCCCACACAACAAATGCCCAGACACGCCTCTTTAACACGCTCGCTCTCCCGCTCGCTCTCTCAATAGATCGCAAGCCCCTGCTGCATCATCATCATCATCATCATCATCTGCAGCAATATCAGCTGCCGCACAGCCAATTGCAACAGCCGCATCATCTACACCAACACCAACAACAACACCAACAACAACAACAACAGCAACAGCAGCAACAACAGCAGCAGCAGCAGCCTTCGCACTTGACTTTGCCCAAAATGGATTTGTATGCCGCCTACGCCTATCAGCAACAGTTGCTGTCGCTCAGCCAGCAGCAGCAGCAACAGCAGCAGCAGCAGCCAGTTGCTGTTGCCGCCGAGGTGCTGGATTTGTCGCGTCGCTGCGACAGCGTGGAGACGCCACGGAAAACACCTTCGCCGTATCAGACCAATTACAGCTATGGCAGCGGCTCACCCGCCGCCTCGCCCACAGCCATACCCAGCAATCTGTTGTACTCCACACAGGCAGCCGCCGCCGCCGTCCAACAGCAGCAGCAGCATCAACTGGCCACGCTTTATCCGGCGCTTTACTACGGTGGCGGCAGCAACAGCATCAAGCAGGAGCCAAGTCCGGCTGCCAAGACGGGCAACAATTGCAGCGCCACCGCCAGCCTGTTGCAGACATTTGCCGCTGCCTCGGCCGCGGCAGCGGCTGCCGCTGCCGTCTCTGCCAGCGCGGCGGAGCACTTATCGCGCCCGGCTAGCAATGCCAGCACCATGCAGATCGATGTGCTGGAGGCGCCGCAGTCGCCGCCAGCGCCTGCAAGCGCAACGGCGAACGCCGGCGAGAGTCAGTCATGCAGCAGTGCCACGACCACGCCCACCAGCAGCACAGCAGCACTGGCCACGGATGCCAGCAGCAAGACAACGCGTCCGTTTAAGGCGTTTCCGCGCGATCCGCTGGTCATAGCGGCCAATTTTGCGGCCACCGATGTGCTGCTCGATAATCCGCGCGTGGAGCGCTACACAGAGTACCGGAAGCGTGTGCTCGAGCAGATACGCAGCTCGAATGGAGGCGCACGGACCGTAACCAATCCGAAAATGCGACGCACCAATTCGCGCAGCGGCAGCGTCAACGAGGGCAGCAGCTCGAACAACAACAGCGAGAGCGAGGATCGCGCCGCCGCCGAGGAGTCCAGCGATTGTGATTCGCATGCCGGCAATTTCGAGAAGCTGTCCGGCTCAGGCAATGCCGGCAACAGATCGACATCGGGCGCTGCCGCAGCAGCTGCCGCTGCCTCCGGCACAGGCGGCAGCCAGGTGAAGGATGCCGCCTACTATGAGCGTCGGCGCAAAAACAATGCGGCGGCCAAGAAGTCGCGCGATCGCCGACGCATCAAGGAGGACGAGATCGCCATCCGGGCGGCCTATCTGGAGCGTCAGAATATTGAGCTGTTGTGCCAGATTGATGCGCTCAAGGCGCAGCTGGCCGCGTTTACGGCCAAGGTGGCTGTTTAGGCAGCGATAACACATTGTCACATTGTTATCGAAAACATATTGCCTGTTATCGATAACAAATCGATCGCCAATCGCTGCTTGTTGCGTTGAACGCGTGCGAGTCTCAGTTCCGTTTGGTTTCCACACAAAACACTAGTTAGGCATTTTTCGGTTAAACTTTCCGTTCGTTTTCTTTTCTCTCTTTTCTTTTTTTTTTTTTTTTGTTCAAGGAGGGGCAGCTTATCTGTGAATACTTTCATTCGGTTTCTTCTATGCCACACACACACACACACACCCACCCACACACACATTACCATCATTACCAACTGCATATTTTTGATTTAAGTCCTATTATTTTTTTTTTTATGTCTCAATTCAAGTATTTTAAGTACTTTAAGTTCTTGGGCTTTTAGCGCAAAATCTCACCAGTTAATTAATATACAAAATATCTAATAATTAGTCTGTATAGTACAAGGTTAATTTATAAGCGACATTTTTTTGCATATCTTTAAGTAATAAAATATCTTTTTAAAAATAACGGTTCAAGTTTTACAATCGAGCTGCGCTCTCATAGCATGCAACTTTTGTCAACGAACACCCGTAAGCCGGGAAAAACACAATCTTAAAAAGTTTAAATGTCCACAGCTCGGCTAATTGAAGTCAGATCTTGAAAAGCTATGGCATTCTGGGCTCGTAAAACTGTATAGAACAGATTTGAAGTGAAAACAATTCAATTCCGAACAAACCCCTTTTTGGCGAAAATTGTGATGTTACCCCTTGCCATTTTTGTTGAATTTGATAAAACTCTAGATTCGAATTTTCTGCATGCCAATCGGTAGTCTTGGTCCGTACGAATTCGAAGTGGGATATCGTTCCGAAATCGGACTTTATTTACCCGAGATATTCGAACTATTTCAAATTTTTTCAAAAATTTCCCATGTTCATAACTCGGCCAATTGAAGTCAGATCTTGAAAAGATACTGCATTCTGGACTCGTGAAACTCTATAGAACAGATTTGAATCAAAAGCTAATCATTTCAGAATAAACTCGATTTATGCGAAAATTGTCATTATTGTTGTTGGATTTTCAAAATACCAATCGAGTTCAAAAAGTTCTAATTCTAAATCGGCTCAAAATATCGATCTAAAAAATCGAAATCCAGTTGTAACGTGGCGCCATCTGTTGCACGAGACACTGAATGTGCAAGCGGTTACGTGGCAAGCAGCTTTTGCTAAGCTGCAAAACGCTGAACAGGGGAATCACAAAACTCGTGCAATTTTTTTATATTTTTATCAGTTTTTATTTTCAATTTTTTTTTTCTTTTTTTTTTTGTTGCTTTTGTTTTGTTTTGTTTTGTTTTTTTTTTTTTTGCGTTCGTTTTTGTTTTTCATTAATACTAAGTGTACGCATTAAAGGTAATATATGTGTTAATTGTTAATTCATTCATTAATCGTAGGCTTACTAAAAATTGTAATTGTTTTTGTTTTAATGTTGCTTTTCTCATAATGTTGCATTTGTTGAATTATATAATTACGACTACAGGCTACATACAGCCCGGGGCAGGGCTAAATGAACAACAGCTTCACTTTTGCTTTTGTTGATCGTCTTCCATTTTGCTTTTGTGGTTTTCTCTTTTCATTATTGTTATTATTAGTTTAGTTTTAGTTAGTTTTCATTTATAGTATGTGTGGTTCCGTTTCTCATTAGATATTAGCATTAAGTTTTTGCTTTGTATAAGGCTAAGTCGTTTGCTTAACTGATCCTATTCGTTCAATTGTTTACTCTTTTAATATGTTACATGGATTTTTGTTTTTTTTTAGCACTCCCTCAAGTTATTTAACAAAGTGTTGACAACAATTAATTGCTAAAATGCCAGCGCCTGGTTTAAGGCTACAATTTAATATAGTTTCATGTATGGGATCCATATGTGGGCGGAGGGGGCACTGTTAAAATGTTATAATTATGCATATGTATATGTATATATGGTATCATTCATATATATATATTCATATATATATATATATATATAGATAGTAAGGAAAACTGTTTTCATTTATTTGCTTTTGTTCTTGTATCTTTATTTATTTTATTTTTTTTTTTCATTATTATATATATATGTATATATATATATATATTCCTTTTATTGATATTTTTCTTTCATTTTCAATTAAATGCTAAAAATTAATTATACAAAAAAAAAGTTATATTGTAATATATATATATATATATGTGTATATGTATATACGTGTGTATACATATATATTCATATATAGATAGTGTGTATAGTTAAAAAAAAGCTAATTTACACAAATATAAGTGACATCTTAGGAGGGGGTGATTGGATTTGGGGTATAACAACATAGATTTAAGGATGTGTACCTTGTGGTTGGAGAAGGGAGGTGGGGGAGGCTGGTTTCTCGGGTATTTGTGTGTGTTGTTATATAACTTGTTTGTGTAAAAACGTTTATGTATAGAATAAGTATGCATTATAATAACTTTAATATAACTCTTTCACACACACACACACACACAAGCACACACGCTCGCTTACAGACACACATTTATGTTTATTTACTGTCCGTATATATATATATATATAATATATATACAAAACAAACACATGGATTTTTAGCAAAGATTAAAAAAAATGTTAAATGGTGAAGACAACAAACACAGCAAAGCAGCCAAAAGTACAGTGCACTCAAAACATGTGCACAACACACACGCACACACACACACGCGCTCAGACACACACACTCACGCCCAACTCGTGGAAGCCAATGTTGAATGTTAGACAACACTAAAAACTAAGTTGTACAATTTTAAAATTTTCACTAAACATCATGGTTTTGCATTTAACAACGGAGCGGCAAAGTGCAACGCAGTTTTTTCTTTCTTTCTTTCTTTTGTTTTGTTTTAATTTTTTATTTTTATTAACTTCTTGAGTGTTTGCTTCGATTTTCGTCAGTTCTATTTATATTTTCTTTGTTTATATTTAATTGTTTTTGTTTTTTGTCATTAAGCCACACTGGTTGGAAATAGTTCGACGAACTAAATTGCAAAATGTTATCATTAATTTTATGGAGCTTGTGTGGTCTGTTTGGTCTGATAATGAGTTGTGCCTAGATATTGAATCGTGCACACCACCGTATCTATTCTATATACATACATATGCTAGTCACATTTAACTGAAGATCGTATTGGAAGTACATCGTTACGATATTTATTAAGAACAAAAAGACGCCGAGGCTTTTTGATGCTACGTTCATGCCGGAGCCTTATGTCAAGTGTAGAAAAATAAATATTTGCTTTTGTTTCACTGCCCGCTTGCATGAATTTGTTGTTTCACTATAAATATATATATATATATAAATACATATCTGTATATATATATATATATGTATGTATATGTATATATAAATTGATATTATGGATTCGAGTTTTAGTTAAGCTAAGACAATAAAAACTCCATATATCGTCTCAACGATTTGGGCTTCAATCATATTACTATGGCAGCTCTAGGCTATAAGCTATATATGCATGTGTATGTGTTTGTTTGTGTCTCTCTCACTGCTCTCTCTCTCTCTCTCTCTCTCTGTGTGTGTGTGTGTGTGTGCTTACTAGTTTAATTTGGAATTACGCTTTTATATGTATTACGTAGCATTGCGAGTACAAAACAATGTTGAAAACAACTACACACAGACATATACATGTTTATATGTTGTATACACATATTTTTATCGCTTTGAACGTAACGTACAAAAACAAACATTTAACATTTATCTAAGGCTCTCGCGCAGAATTGCTCTCTGAATTTACATAAAAGACAATAGTTTCGAACACGCCAATTCGAATTCGAATACGTGCCCGAATTCGAACTCGTGCTCGATTTGTATATTTTTGTATATTACACATATAAGTATATATATATATATATATGTTGTGTTGGGCTGGAGAGGTATAGTAAAAAAAATATGTTGTTTTTTTTTATGCTATTTTCTATACAATTTTATGTTTTATGTTTTTTTTTTTTGCTTTTGTTTTTGTTTTGTTGCGTGCTGCACTCTTGTGATGTTGTTTTAGCGTATGTTTTTGTGTTTTGTCAATTTCTAGTATTTTCTATGTGGGCACACACACACACACACGAAGAACGTTGCGTGTAAATTTATGAAATGTTTTTTGTTTGTTTGTTTTTTTTTTCTTTCTGCTTTTAGGCGCGTTACATAAAAAATTTCGTTGCTACTTAAAAACTAATTTTGCACTTAAATATATATATATATATATATATATATGTGTGTGTGTGTGTGTATATATATTTATAGTATATATGTTGTGTGTGTGTGCGGGTGTGTGTGTGTGTGTATTTACCTATGCATGGGTATGCGTGAGTGTGTGTGTGTGTGTGTGTTGGTATATATATATATATATAAATTACAAGTGTTAAATTACATGTTTTTAACAATGTTTTTACTTTGTTTTGCTTTGTTTTTTTTTAATTCTCTATTATTGTTTTTCGCACACACGCACGCACAAACACACACACTCGCACACACACACACACACACACACACACACACACACACACACACAATCTGTGTATGCACGTAAACTAAATCATAATGTAAAATCTAATTGGATGCTCTCTTGTTTTTGTTTCTTGTTTTTGCGCTTAATAGTTTTAAATTAGTTAACAAGTATATATATATATATATAAAAAAAAAAAAACTGATTGTTCTTCTGTATCATAGAATTAGAACCTTAACGCCTATATAGATCGATAATCAATATTACAATGCATGGGGCATATCAATATAATAATAAGAGTAATAATAATAATATTAATATTGTTTAAAAAAAAAAAAATGATATATATATATATATATATGTATATATATATTTTTTTATTGTTTTGTTTTTATATAACCAAAGGAAATGTGCCTTTTTCTTCTTGTTGTTGTTGTTGTTGTTGTCTCTCGCTGTGTGTGTGTGTGTGTGTGTTTATGTTAAGTGCGTGTGTGTGTGTGTGTGCGCGAGTGTATGCTACACTCTATACAAAATACAAACACACATGCATACACTCTTACGTATATGTACATCAGTATTGTTTTATACCCTCTAATTGCATGTACACTTAATGCATTCCTATGTTTGTTAATTGTAGTTGTAAACGTAATTATAATTACTTCGAACATTGCTTATGTTTTAACAATTGTTGTTACATTGTCGTTGTTGTGTGTTGCTTTTGTTGTTGCTCGTCCAATATGAATTGTGTGATTGATTTCAAAAATTGTTGCTTTTAGTTGCTTTCATTGTTGCGCTGCTGGGGCTGGTGTTGTTGCTCTGTGCCAGCCAGCCAAGCCTTGCTGTTGTCAACGCCCCCATTCTTGGTATTGTATTTTTATAATATTGCTGTTTTGTTTTTTGTTTTGTTTTTTTTTTTTGTTGTCTTCATTTTCTTCATTTTTTTTTTTTTTTTTGTATGCTGCTACCATTAATGTTGCTCATGTCTCGCTGATGATGATAATGTTGTTGTTGTTGCTGTTGTTGTTGTTGGGTGGTGGTGGTGGTGGTGGTGCTGCTGTTGCTGCTGCAACTGTTGGTGTTGTTATGCTGCTACCGTTGTTGTATGTCATTCCTTGATGTTGTTGTTGCTGCTGCTGCTGCTGCTGCTGCTGCTGCTGCTGCTGCCAAACTTATTCACGCTGCCTTCTGTGATGCGAACGACGTTTGTGCGCGTGCGATCTGCTGGCAGCGCTGCTCGATTTGGAGGAGTTGCTTTTGCTTTTCGTTTTGGTGTTAGTTGTCGACGACGCAGCCGTCGCGGCCGTTACCTACAGCGTCTCCTCAAAGGCAGCCATCAGATCGCTCTGCATGTTCATGTCAATTTGGCCGGCCATCTGTGCACAATAACAATAACAATAACAATAATAATAATAATTATTATATTAGATGTATATTAGTTATGAATTTCATTAAAAAATACTGTTCGCTTAAATTGATGAGCCTTCAATGTGACTGCAACTGCTGCAGTTAACAGCAAACTGTAAAATATACATTTTAAGTCAATGTTAACCGCAACAGTATCGATACCTGCTGCTTGGCGCTGCGGCTGTTAATCGCTGCCAGTGTGGATCCTAATTCTGTTACAATAGCAGATCAAATTATCCGCTCTCTGTTAACTCTCTGTTGCAGTTTTTATAGACTTGTATTGACATGATATTTTTATGAAAGGTGTAACGTACCAAAGAGTACACATCACATTTCAAAGAGTACATATATATCTGAACACTATCAATGTCAATGTCCATGTCCGTTTGTCCGGAAACTTTACATAGGTCTATCTTGTTTGTATACCCTTGCAGAGGATATTAAAATTTTGCCGTCATCTAACAAGATATCTTGACCAAACTCGGCATTAACTATTTTCCCTGTGCTTCTAAGGGTTGCGTCTGCAAGAGTATTAAATTCCTTTTCGTTTCCCTTCACCATGCTCTCTACAGATGTCGGAATTCAATCAAAATCGGAACACTATCTCATCTCAGCATTTGTCAGCTTATCGCACATATTTTCACAAGGGTATTTAGTTCTCGGCATGCCGAGGTTAGCTGTTTCTTTTCGTTGAGTTTAGTTTTTGATTCATTTACCGCCTCGCGTCTGCGCCTCTCCTGCTCGGCTCGCCGCTGCTCTGCACGTTTGGCAGCGGCACGATCCTGCGGCGATTGCTGTGCCGGCGAATTCTGTCCCTGGCCCGGCGATGCTTTAATGTCATCCATACGTGATATTTGCGGCTGTGCATCGTGCACGCTTTTCCTGTTAAACAACAAAACGGTGTGTTAGGCAACTCTCTTTCTCTCTCTCTTTCTCTCTCTCTCTCGCTCTCGCTCTCGCTCTCTCTCGCATGACCACTTACCGTCCGCTTTCCATGGCGCCCAGTGGCGAGGCAGCCAGCACCGCAGCGTTGGCCGCCGCAGTCGCTTGTGCCGCTGCAGCTGCTGCTGCTGCTGCCGCCGTTGCATGTTGCGACTGGGCATTGCTGGCCGACTGGTGGCCATTGCCGGGCGCAGGGCCACCAATAATGCCGCCACCACCAATGCCCACGCTGCTGCCGCTGCCGCTGCCGCCGCCGCCGCCGCCGCCAGTGCTGCCGCTGTTGCCGCCGCCTTGGCTGTTCGAGCCGCTGGTTGCAATGTTGCCGCCCAGGCTGCTGTTGCTGTTGCTGCTGGCTGCACCGCTGCCGCTGCCTATGCCGAGGACGCCGCCGACGCCGCCGCCGCTGTTGCTGTTGCTGCCGGCATTGAGCAGTGGGCCGCCACTGGCGCTGCCGCTGCCGCCGCCACTGGCGCTGCCGCCGCCGCCACCAAGAGCGCCGCCGCTGCCGCTGCCAGCACTGCCAGGTCCATTGCTGTTGGCCGAATTGCTGCTGTTGTTGCCGCCGCTGCCGCTGCCGCTGCCAATGCTGATGCCGATGCCGATGCCAATGCCGCTGCCGATGCGTGAGGCATCTGTGGCGCTGCTGCCGCGCTCGCGTTCGCCGCTGCTCTGCGACGCAGACTGACCGCCAGCATTGTTGTTGTTGTTGTTGCTGCTGCCGCCATTGTTGTTGTTGCTGTTGTTGCCGCTATTGTTGCCGCTATTGTTGCCGCTGCTGCTGTTATTGTTGTTGTTATTGTTGTTATTGTTGTTGCTGCTGCTATTACTGTTGCTGCCGGCACTAATTGGATTAACAGCCGTTGCATTGGCAGCAGCAGCCGCAGCAACAGCTGCCGCAGCAGCCGCTTGCGTCGCGGCCACCGCCGAAGCAGCAGCAGCAGCAGCGGATGAGGCCGCCGCCGCTGATGAGGATGAGGAGGAGGATGATGACTTGTGATGCTTGCGCTGCTGCTCCTTTTCGGCAGCCTCCTTTTGGTGCTTCTTCTCCTTCTCGGCTGCCTCGAGCAGCTTGAGGCGATCGCGTTCTTTGGCTTTGTTGCGGAATTGCTGAAACGAATCCATCGCCGGCTTGGCCTTGCTCGACGTGGTCGCCGTATTCTGCGGCGAACTGGCCGATGCCAGCGACGACCACGAGCTGGCATTCTTCAGATTCTGCTCGACAGCGCTCTTGAACACCTGATAGCTAGCGTGCGTATTGCCGGCGTGCAGCTTTAGATCGGAGGGCGATTGCTGCGGCGGCAGCACCTTTTGATGCTGCTGCTGTTGCTGCAGCTGCATCTGTTGTTTGTCGGGCGGACTTGGCATCATCGACTCAATAGGCTTCGGTATGATTAGCATTTTGTTGTTGGCCTGATTGCCATGCTGCTGCTGTTGGGCCAGCTGCTGCTGCTGCTGCTGTTGTTGTTGCTGTTGATGATGATGTTGTTGTTGCTGTTGATGATGATGTTGTTGCTGCTGCTGCTGCTGCTGCTGCAGCTGTTGTTGTTGCAATTGCTGTTGTAGCTGTTGTTGCTGTTGCTGCAACTGTTGCTGATCACCATCTTTAAGCTTGCCGCCACCCGTACTGCCCATCATGGCCGCCATGGGCATCACATGGTCCAGCAGGCCAGCCGAAGCCATATTGAGATTATCAAAGCCCGGCATGCCGCTAAAGTCGGCCACATTGTAGCCATTGTTGTGTGCCTGCTGCTGCTGTTGCTGCTGTTGCGTTTGATGGCCGTGTTGCCCGTGGGGCTGCTGCTGCTGCTTCTGCTGATAGGGAGCCGTCGCCATGTCCAGATTGAATATGCTATTGTTTAGCAAATGGTTGCCATTCATGCCAGCCACATTCTCCACGCTCTTTGACAGCAGCTCTGTCATGTAGTCCATGCGCTGCTGTTGCTGCTGCTGCTGTTGTTGCTGCTGTTGTTGTTGCTGCTGCTGCTGTTGCTGCATTCCGAACTGTTGCTGCTGCATCATATGCGCCTGGTGGGCCATTAAAAAGTTTTCCGTCAGCGATGATTTGCCCGTGGAACTGGCGCTAAACTCAAGCGAGGCCAGCGACTGTTCCACGGGATCATCGAATTGGGGTATCTGCTTGAGGCCAGCGGCCAGTGAGGCGCTGGACAAAGCATCATTAACGCCCACGCCCACGCCCATGCCTAGTGTGCCCGTGTTATTGTTGTTACTGTTGTTGTTGTTGTTGCCGGCAGCACCTGTGGAGGCGAGCGCAGCGGTCAGCGCCGCATGATGATCGGCCAGCTCGGGCTGCTTATGCAAATTGCTGGCAATGCGTATGCCGCCAATGCTGCCCGCCTGTCCAGCGCCCGCTGCTGCCGCCGCTCCGCCATAGCCGTGCGGCGGCAAAGCACCAGCAGACGCAGCGGACAATTTGCCAGCAGCGCTGCCCAACAATTCGTTGACGCCCGTTGCGAGTCCGTTTTTATGATGGCCAGAAGCATGCAACACATTGCCAGCATAACCGCCGCCGCCGCCGCCGCCGCCACCCGGCGCTGTCTTGTTGTTGTTGTTCAGCATGGCCGCTGCGGCCAATGGATTGGCATTGCCCATGAGGTTGGCTGCACGTATACAAAGGTATTGGTACCGAGGAGGTGGGCAGGTGAACAGGTGAACAGGTGAACAGGTGGGGTGTTGCGGAAAAGAACATTTAATTAGTTCAGTTAGTCACAACATATCAATCGTAGGGCCTTTCTCTCAATTGGTACTCACTCATTTGTGCAGCTGACGCGTTGGCGCCCACAGAGGACAGCATATGATCCACCTGATCCAGCTGGCGCTGCAAGTCCGATTGCATTTGCTGCACCGTCGGCGCCGGCGCCAGATTGCCGAGCAAGCTGCCAGCCAGGCTGGGATTGTTATTTACCTGCATTGCCGCCAATGGGGTCAAGATCGGGTAGTACAATAGATTGGATAGAGAGGGTAACGCACACTGATTAGGTTAAATGAATATTATGTTTGGCACGCACTCGAATTCTTGCTAGTTCTAGTTTTAAATCCACCTTCCTAACGAGTTCAATAGCAAAACATTTGTCAACTGTCAAAGAAATTGTATTTTGTAAAATATGGCAACGCCCTGATTAAATACTGTTAAGCTGGCAGCACTCTATAACACTTGACAGATTGGCTAGCTATGCTGGAATATTCAACGATCACACAGTGTTGCCACAAGCGCATCGCATTTACAACACTGCTAAATATTTACCTTGAAGCTAAACTTCCTGTCAAATTGTGTGCAATGCATTTAGAGCACTAGGAGTTATTTATATCGAAGCTAAACTTCCTGTCAGATTATGTGCAATGCATTTACAGCACTGGCAAATATATACCTTGATGCTAAACCACCTATCAAATTTAACCAACAACTTAAGTAGCAAAAAAACCTTTAACTAAATGTTAAACTAGTTTTAGTAAATATTAGATGAAATATTAGACTTGCACAGAAACTAACTACGGCATTTGCTAACGATTAAAAGGCTTCAGTTTCGAACTATTATTGAACAAATATTATTAGCAGCTAATTATTTATTTTATATATATACTTTCTATAGGGAAAAATATGACTGAAAAATTAGATTAGAATTAGAAACTCAGACTTAACTACACTTGATATGATCTAGAGTTATGCGAAGATAATCTAACTCTGCGTATCTGAGACCTCTTGTCACGCCTTTACTATAGCAAAACATAAATAATTTCTATGCAACTGTTAATGGAATATCGAATAGTAGACATCATGTTAATAACACTCAAGAGACCAAGGGAAGCCCAAGCATTTGTCTTTGATCAAACCAATTTTGAATAAAAATACGCTTCGGACATGAATGTTATTTGTCCAAATGGTTTAGGCTCAGTTCAAGGCTCGGTTCGCACTAAAGAAAATCAAATGGAATTACGGGCTCGATACGATTCGATGTCAAACTAGTTGACAGTCTTTCTTACAATGAGGTGCAGAAGATGGGCGCATGAGATGCCAAACAATCGAAGTATGTGTGCATTTTGTGTTAAGAGGTTTGGTTTTCCATATGGGTTCCCAGTTAAGAAATATTGAAGGACTTTCAATTGCAGCTACTTACATTGCTTCCATTTGAATCACGTGATTTTTTCTTGCGTGGTGGCCGATCGTCGGCATCGCCTGAAAGATTACGAAATCAAATATTAGAAAATTTAATAAAAACAACATTTTTATTTGATTCAAGTGGGGGGAAAGTTGGTTTAGTTCGAGCACCAAAAGAAACCAAAAAACAAAAAAAAAAAGAAGGTGATTGTGAGTGTTAAAAGAGTAAATCAAGAAAGCATGGAATGCTACGGGAAAATATTAATTGCAAATTAATTTGATATGTGTGTGTGTTGGGATTGGGAGGGACTTATATAGAGGATATATGGTATGGTATATAAAAGAGTGTGTGTGTGTGTGCGTGTGTTTTGTGTGAAAGAAAAATACCTCGATACAATTGTGGAACGCTGAAACCAATGTGAAGCAATTGTTGTACCCGGTGTGCGGTGAGGCGAGGAGGGCGGGTTCCGGCATAATGGGGCTTTAGGTATATTTAACTGCCTCATAACTCTGCCTCGCCCTCATTTTCTTTCTCTCCCTCTCTCTCTCTCTCTCGCTCTCACTCTCTCTCTGTTTTTCACTCTCCCTTCCTCTCTCTCTCTCTCTCTCTCATTAATTTTCTTTCTCTCTCTCTCTCCCACTTCTAAAGTCTGTAAGTAAGAAAACCTGCACGAGAAAAACGAGGGAAAAACAACCAAAGAGGGCACCAACCAACCTGCTCTTTATATATATAATTATTATTATTATTTTCATTTTTTTTCTCTCTCTCTGTTTTCGCTCGAATTCATCGAAATTGATCGTCATTTTTATTTTGGATTAATGATTTATGGGCTTTACTTTTGTTTATGTGCAATTTATTGGTTTATAGTTTTTTTTTTCGTTTTTGTTATTATTTTTATTTTTTTTTAAAGAGAATTGGGAGAAAATGTTGTGGAAAGAATGCAGAAAGACAAGTTGTTCATTTTTTTTTTTGTTTCTTTTTAATAAACTTTTTCTTTGTTGTTTGTTGTTGTTGTTGTTGTTATATTCATTGCCTTTTGTTGTGCGCTGCATTTTGTTGTTGTTGTTTTCTTCTTCTTCTTCTCTTTTCTTAAACATATTATTTATTGTTTGTTGTTGTTTTATATATATATATATAATATATATATATTAAATATTACTTTTACTACAAATATTTTTAAATATAGGTATAATGTGTGCGTGCGTGTGTGTGTGTGTGTGTGTGTGTGTCAAATCTTCGTATAATTCAAAATGCATCTTTATGCCAAGTGTGTGTGTGTGTGTGCGTTTGTTGTTGTTGTATTTTTTCTGCCTAGCGTTGCCTTTAACTAAGATTTTTACTAAGTTATTTTTTTTGTTGCTTTGTTGTTATGTTATTTTATATTTGTTTTTATAATTTGGCTTTGCGTGTGTGTGCGTGTGTGTGTGTGTGTGTGTGTGTACGTGAAAAAAAAACCTAAGTTCTTCGCTGCTTTTGTTGAAACCAAAAATGCATTATTTATTTTTTTTTAAATATTTTTAAAGTTTTTTCTTTTTTATTTTTACAAGACTTTGAGCGTGTTTACATGTGAGTGTGTGTGTGTGTGAGTTTCTCTCTCTCTCTCTCTCTCTTCTTCGTCGTGTTTCGTTTTGTTGTTGTTTTAGTCTTCTGCTTTTAACTAAAGATCTTACATAGGTTACTAAAGAAAACTGCTTTTGATGCTTGGGGCAATTTTTAGGAAGGCTTTTCACAAAACCAAAATAAAAAAATATTAAAAAAAAAAAAAAAAAATTGTCGTTTTTAAAAAATTGTTTGCGCATTTTTTCGGCATTTTTGGAATAATTGTTGTTGTTTTTTTTTGTTTTTTTTTTTTTTTTTGGGTAATAAAAAAACAGCAAATTTTACAAAAAATCATAAATAATTGTTCACAATTTTCTGTATGTGTGTGTGTTGGTGTGTGTGTGTGTTGTCTGTCAGCAAAATACAAAGCACACGCTCAAAAAAATTAACAAAAAAAAAACTCGATTTAAATAATTTTGCTCGCTTTTTTTCTTTAATGTTGATTTGTTGTTGTTGTTGTTTGTTGTGTTTAAAATAATGTTGAAACATGTTGTTTAATGTTTTTTTTTATATATTATTATTGTTGTTCTTTCTTTTCTTTTTGTTTTTCTTCTTTTTTTTTTTTTTTTTTTTGCTGTTTAGTTTAATATTAAAAATTGTTATATTTATAAATTTATTTAATGCAATTTGTTTTGTTTAAGTTTTAATTCATTTCTATATTTTTGCGTTTTCATTTTGCTCTTTTTTGTTGTTGTTGTTTCTTCTTTTTTTTTTTTTATTTACTCTTTTTTTTTTTTTTTTTTTTTTTTTTTTTTGAAAAAACGTGCAAACAATGTGTAAAGGGGAAAGCCGACAGCCGAAAAATAAATAATAAAATGCTTTCAAAATACATTAAATTATTTGTTTTCAAAATAACCTTCGCTATGCATATGTATGCACACATGTTTCCATATATATATATATATATATATATATATATATACACATATATATATATGTACATGTGTGCCGATGTGAATACATGCATATGCATCTATATATATACACTAGATGTGCGTTTGCATGGAGTCCAAAAACAAACTCCATGTCCGACATTTTGCCTAGAACTTGTTTCGGGCTCTTCATCAGAGAACTCGCTCTGTTTATCTTTATAGATAATATATATAGTTAATATATATATATAATATATATATTACTTGATTACAGTCTGTCTGTGCGGTCTGTCATCTGTATTTGCTTTTTGAATATATATATATATATATAATTTTTTTTTTTTTTTTTTTTTAATTATTTTTTTTGTTTTTTTTTTTTGCTTTGTTAAAGTTTGTTTGGTTCTGGAGAGTTTTCGCTCCCTTGAGACACATCGACTTTTAAATATTAACGTAGTTGGTGTTCTTCTTCTTCTTCGGTTGCTTCTTATTTGCTTGTTTGTTGGTGTTGAATTGTTTATTAAATATTTATTGCTTGATATATATATATACACACACATATATATATATAAATTTATACATATATATATATATATATGTGCATAGTACATAAGTAGATAATTACAGCTCTTTTGTCCTGCTAACCCTACAAATTATTTAAATATTAACTAACTTACGAGTTGCTTGATTTACTTTTTACTAATTTCCGTTTTCTTATTTCTTCTTTTTGTTTTTATTTGTATCTCAAAAGTCTTCTGCTTCTTTAAGTATTTACTCGTACTTCTTGTAGCCTGTCTGTGTGTGTGTGTGTGTGTGTGTGTGTGTGTGTGTGTAATTTGTGCTTGTTTCAGTAAGGTTCTGCTGGAAGTACTGTTCAGTTGAAATTGGAAGCGTTTACATAACATTTTGTACATAATTTACGAAAAAAAATTCGTTGCAAAAACGATGGCGAATGGGCACAAAGAAAAGAGCGGAAAAGCAAGCGCAGTTAACGGTAAACAGTTAACGGTAAATTGAGTATGCGATCGATAATTGTGTAATCGTTTTATTTCAAATCGTTCCCCCCACCCCCACCCCCCTCGTCCACCCAGAGCCCACACCCATAACACTTTAATCGGAACAATTTGGCGCACTGCTTGCATTTAACAAAAAGCAAGCAGTGCACAGTGGGCGCGGTTCATAAATCAAGCAGCATATTCAAATTTGTGTATTGAGTAGGTAAAATAAACACTCATTGCTACGTATGTGTGCGTGTGTGTGTGTGTGTATATGTGTGTGTATTTATTTGTTGTGTGGAGTTCTTGTTTTCGTTTCGATTTGTTTTGTTTTTGCTTTGTTTTCTAGCTAACTACTTAAATACCAGCCCCCGAATCCCACCCTAGACCCAAACGTCCCCACTTCAACTACTATTGCTGTTGTGCTTCTTCTTCTTCTTCTTCATATTTTAATTCTTTAAATATTAATATACGTATTTGCTACTCGTTGATAATTGGTGTTTGTTGTTGCTTTTTTGTATACATTTTCTTTTTTAAACTTTCTTAATTTTACACATTGTCTGCAAGTGTATTTTTAATATCAATTTCAATTTCAATTGTTTTTCATTTTTTTGTTTTTCGCATAATTCTTAGTTTGTTTTTTTTTTTTTTATTGCTATTGTTTAAATAATGCACATATGAATTGTGTGTGTTTGTGTTTTGCATTTTATCATTGTTTCATAATTTTGTTTTATAAAATTGGGGTTTCTTTTGACTCTCGCTTTTGTTATGAGATATATATATATATACATATATGCATATATATATTTATATATGTATGTGTATAAACACATATATAAAAACTGTTTATGTTTACATTCAAATATATATATACACAATATATGTATGTACATGTGCTGAATTCACTTCCTAACGTCTGTCCGTATGGCGAATGCGCGAGTGTGTGCGTGTGCATGTGTTTGTGTGTGTGTGGGTGTGTGTGAGAGAGAGCGCTGTTGGCGCCCAAAAAAGTAGGCAGCAATTGCGCAGGCTGTCGCGTGTTAGAAGCTAACTGATGTAAAGAACGTACGCATTGAACGACAAAAGGCTGACTAATAGGGCAAACAAGGCAACTCAATATTATTGCAAACAGTGTTGTACAATGCGCGAAAGAGAGATAATGAATGAGTGTTAATTTAAATAAATCATTGAGAGCGTATACGAAATAATATTCTTTTTATTTATTTGTTCAGTTTTTGCTGAGTATGAAAAAATAAAAAAAAAAATGTACGCGTTAAATAAATAAAATTAAAAAAAAAAACCGCTTGATATTTAGATTAAAGAGTATACAATACAGCGATTGAGAGACAATCAGAATACAAAAACAAATATGTTTAGAGAATGTTAAAAAGCGAACTGTTTCAACACAGTGCCAGACACAATTCAATAAAGAATCTATTTAGTTTGTTGTCGAACTTAGCAGAGAGGCGACATTGATGGAATTCGGTGGAGTTGGGCAAATGATTGATGTGAAAAACTATGCTATACACAAACATACACCACAAACTAACTAACAGACAGTTTTGTGTTAAAACAGAGCTAGGGCTTAACTAGATAATATGTGGCTGTTTATTTTGATGCATCACTGATCAGTGCTGTTACGATAAAATGGAAGGACTGGGCTCGTAAAATGCTGTCATTGATTGACTGATTGATGGCTGTAATTGCTGATAAAGCACATTGTTTACAATACAGAACACAAAAAAAAAAAAATAAACTCTACATGATATACACATTGTATATAAGTTGAAATATGTGGTTAGGCAAGCGCGCTAGCCTAAATATCACATACATTAAAGGTTTTTTTTTTTGGGAAAGTAGTAGAAAATGTGCGCTACATGTGTGTGTGTGTGTGTGTGCGTGTGTGTTGCTTAAAGTTTGTAGAACTATGCACTACTGATGGATTGAATGATCGTATAGCTATATACATATACATGTATATGCATAAATGTATTTATGCATATACATATATAATTAGTACGTTCATAGATTGCTTTTTATACATGCATTTTTTGTTTTTTTTTTTTTTGTTCTGAGGTTCCTTTGATGTTACTCTCTCTCTCTCTCTCTCCTTTTTTTTACATATATATATAAATCGACGCTACTCTTTGATTTTCAAGTTTTTGATGAGTTTTTTGTTTTTTTTTTTCTAATTTTTTTTTTTTTTTTTTTTTAAATCGATTGATTGATTGCTTGGTTGGTTGGTTGGTTGGTTGATTGGTTGGTTTGGTTGAGTGGTTGGTTCATTACTTTCTTTTTCAGATTGGCTGCCCCCAATACACAATTGCTTCACGATTTTTTTCAGCATATTCTCATAATAATCATAATAATAATAATAATATTGGTAATAATAATGGTTTCTTTTGTTTTTTTGTTTTCTTTTTTTTTTTAATGTTTTGTTTTGTTTTTTTTTTCAAGACTTAAAAATTAGTAGAGCTTGCATACGTAAGCTTCTATTTCATTAACTTTCTTTGCGTTTCTTTAAGATAAACTTGTTGGTTTCTTGTTGTTCAACTTTTTACTTTTTTTTTTCTTCTCTGTTTTGTGTTTGTTGTTGAATTTGTATATATGTATATATACACAGATATATATATACATATATATATATTAAAGAGTTGCTGTATGTTCAGACACACACAACTACATACATATATACACATATATGTGCATACATACACACACACACATATATATAGATATATATACATATATATATATATATATATATATATATACATGTGCATGTGTATTTATATAAACAAGATTTGTTTTGTTTTTTTGTTTTACTATCGTTTTTCATTAAAAAATACAATTCGTTAATACCTAAGAAATGCTTAAATACAATATCTATATGCATATACATATAAAATAAAGTATATATATATACACATATATATATACACACATATATATGTATATATATATATGTATATACATATATACGTATAACTAGACCTAAATAGTATTTATATGTATTTATATAAATATGTATATATATATCTATATATATGTATGTATATTATATCTCGAAAGAGAATATATCAATTTTGCAGCTCTATGTGTGGGTGTATATCTGTTAGTGTGTGTGTGTGTGTGTGTGTGTCCGTTTGTGAGTATGTGTTGAATTTTTACCAGTTGAAATAAATTAAAACATTTTGTAACAAACTGTTAGCCAGGAATTTTGCATTTACGCTGCCATTTTTCTGCTCATAACCTCAAAAATTGTTTAAAAATGTACAAAAAAAAATTTAAAACAAAAAAAAACCGGACGCAGCAACAATTTGTTTAACAAATTCAAATGCTGCTTAAATTAATTCGTTGGCTTCTGGATATGAATTATTTATTTAATTATTTACGTGGAAAAATGGAAAAATCAGATTTGAGGCTTGGAATAAAATATGAAGCGTTTTATATTTTTGTTAAAAAAAAAAAAAATATATATATATATATGTATGTATATATATATATATATATATTTGAGCAAACGCATATTGCACTTTGTCATGAACTTTGTTCTGGGCATCAAAAAAAAAAAACAAAAAAAAAAGAGTTTTGAATATAGAAAAAAAATGTCTAATTTATTTTTTGTGGCTGGTCACACAGAAAATGGCAGCAGAATGGGGGAGGGCCTAGGGGGTTGGCTAAGTGGCTAAGCAGCACACCCACACACACATCCACACACACACACACACACACACATGTTTTAATCCATGTAACTTGGCATTGCGCGCGTGGTTGTGTGTGTGTGCGCGCGTTGTTAGTGTCTGCATGTGCATATTGTGTGTGTGTGTGTGTGTGTTGTGTTGTGAACGTGTGTGTGTGTGTAAAAAAGTGTTAATCAATTTTAATATGTGTACAAAAAAACATACAACAAAACAACACTGTTCGCTCCTAAGCGCGATCTGTCTCTTTCTATCGCCCGCTCTAACTGTCTCTCTCTCTCGCTCGCTCGCTAGCTCTCTTCTTTCTCTCTCTCTCTCTCTCTCTCTCTCTGTCTCATCCATTCACAAGTTACACGCTCAACTTTGTATTAGATGCTTAAAACTCTTTATTTTTTATCTAGACCTTAGCAAAAAATAAGTATCAACTAAAATAAACACAATGTATGCCTAAATATATATATATATATTATTATATAACTTTATACATATGTATAATGTATTTATATGCCTAACGAGAATTTAATTAAGCCAAAAAAAAAAGGTTACTAAGCTTTAAACTCTGTTCAATTCGTTCGCTTTCCCATTATACAATTCTCCTGAATTATTCATTTGTTAATTATGCATAATATATATATATATATATTATATATATATATTAAATAGTTGAATATAATGTGTGTGTGTGTGTTGGCCCAAACGCTTCATAACACTGCCTACAGGCTACAACACTGGCTCATAGCTAAAGCGCTCTCTCTCTCTCTCTCTATGTCTCTCTTTTTTCCCCCTTTCATCCCAGATTACACTCTCTCATCTTTAAGCTAATTTCTGTTCATTTTAGTCTCGATGTGTGCTGCTGTATGTGTGTGTGTGTGTGTGTGTGTGTGTGTGTGTGTGTTTGTGTGTGTGCGTGTGTCTGTGTGTGTGTGCCTTTCCACTTTGTTCCGTTACGTTTCGTACTGTTCTTTTAATTCTTTTCTTTTAGCGAGCTTGGCTTACAGAGAACTTTGGACTTACAACTGATTTCTTTTCATAATAGAATTTTTGTTTCGACTAACTTTTTCAGCTTAATTTTAAAAATTATCATAATCAAATTCAATGATAAACATAATAATATAAACATAATCGTATTAAAAAATTAAAAAAAAAAATAATAATAATAAAATAAAATATTTGCTTGTAAATATGATAAATGTAGTTGTTGTTGTTTTTAGTTTGTTACACATATGTATATGTAATACATATACGCGTGTGTGTGTGTGTGTGTGTGTGTGTGCGAGTATGTGTTCTGTATTGTGTGTGCGTGTGTGTGTGTGTGTGTATTGTGTTTTTGTATCTTTCTGTGAGTTGCTTTTCTTTTCTTTTTTTTTTCTTTCCGCTTTTTCAATCAATTAAGCATTTCGTTTCATATATAGATATATGTATATATATATACATAAATGTTTTTGGGGGTCTTATATAAAAAAAAAAAAAAAAAAAAAAAAACAAACAAACAAACAAACAAAACGCGTCCTAACCTGCTTCACTGTCGCTCGAGTCACTCGAACTGCTATCACTCGAACTCGAAGACGATGAATCGCTGGAACTTGAACTAGACGAGACAGGATTCGCTGGCTGCACAGCCTCCACTTTGCTGGACGTGGTCTCATCTGCAAAACAAGCGATAAAATTGGGAATTAATTAGAAATCCATGCGAACATTATCCGTATTGTTGCTCACCTTTCTTGGCTGTTTTCTTGCTAGCGCCCAATTGGCCAGTTACATCCTGTAACCGTTTCTCCAGTTCCTGTTTCTTTTCGGCCATTTGCTCGTCCTTTGATTTACCGGAAGGCTTTTTATCTGCAATAACAAAATTTGGGAATTTTTTTAATTACCGTGTCAAAACATTTGACAGCTCAACACTGAATCTATCTCTCTCTCTCTCTCTCTCTCTCTCTCTTTCTCCCTCTCTCTTTCTCTCATTCGCTCGCTCTGTCTCAATGCGATTAGTGAATTGAGTATTTACTTAAGAGAGAGAGATAGCAATAATTACGGAGCGAGTGCGAGAGAGAGGGAGATGGAGGGGGGATAGAGAAAGATAGAAAGTATTTTAAGAGCTCAACAATGAGAATTTATCGAAAATTAGAAAAAGAGAAAAGAAATTACAGTAATGCATGCTTTCGAGCGAATTTTTTTTCTTCTTTTTGGTTTTGTTTGTTGTTTTTATATGGAACAATCATCCGTGTCAATCAGTCAATCAATCAATCAATCAAACACAAAAATACAAGAGTTCTAGGCGCATGCAATGTTATTAATATGGCTTTACATAAATACATATATATACATATATACAAACATATATATATATATATATATATACATATATTTGGACTAATTTGAACAAACATTCCATTTAATTAAAATTTACACCCTTGCAGTAGATTTTGTTATCTTGATATACATATATATATATATGCTTATATATACTATTTTAATCAGATCAACAACTATATCTCGATCTGGCTACATATATGCCCGAATAGTCGGATCACATAGCTTTCATACGAACTATTGGCATTTCTTGTACTTTCTTCAAATACTTGAACCAAATTTCGGACTACTTTGTCTTAAGAAAATGAAGCTTTTGCATGGAAAACAAGTAATTCGTAAGTAATTCAAGTAATTCAACAAACTTATTGACTATCGGACACATTTGAAATAAATTGAAGGGATCGATGGCTAATCGCGTTGTTGTATGAACAACTTTTGCTAGTTTTTCCCTGCAAAACGTATCAATTGGGCATAAGACTCTTGATATCGGATATATGGGCACCATTTAAAAAAAAAAACTAAACCGAACTGCAAAGGTATATTTGATCTTCGGTAGTCCGAGAATAAATGTGATCTTGTACTTTTTAGACACTTAGAAAGTGAAAAGAAAATTGCAAGAAATGAATGGAGAAAAAAAACGTTATTAAGAAAAAAAAAAAACAAATTAATTTTAAAATAAAGCTGGAAACTTGGTTAATTCTATGGGTTTTTTTCTTTTTAGTTTTTTTTTTTTTTTTTTTTTTGGTTTTTTTGAGAGTTTAGCTAACTAAACATGTGACCACTAAAGTAACTTGCACAAACTCAATAAATTGTGCGCATTGTTCTTGTTCTTAGTTTTTCTTTTGAAAATTTGGAAAATTCTTGTAGCTTTGCTATTGTTATCTTTGTTTTTTTTTTTTTTTTTAAGCTTGGATTGAATATAAAATTGTTGGGACCAAACAAAAGTCTCAAATGCAAACAGCAAAACGCAACGCCACCCAACAAAATGATTTGCATTATATTATTTTTATAAATACAATAAACAATTTTTATAAAAATTTTAGCTTTGCTTCTATTTGTTGTTGTTCTTGTTGTTGTTGTTGTTGTTGCTGTGCTTGTTGTTGCAGTTGCAGTTGCAGTTGCAGTTGTTGTTGCTGTTCTTGTTCTTGTTGTTGTTGTTGTTGTTGTTGTTCTTGTTCTTGTTGTTTGTGGTCTCGGTTTAGTTACAAACTTACAATATGGCTTACGTGTTTTTTTGCGCAAACACGACGCCACATAGCTTTCTAGCTCGCGCAGCGTCGACGGCTTCAGCGTCTCGAAATCGATCTCAATCTCATCCGGATTCGAGTCGCGCAGCGATGGCTCCCGATTTTGTATAATATGAACCACACGTCCCAGTTTATCGCCTACAGAGACAGAGAGACAGAGAGAGAGAGAGAGAGAGAGTTAAATATGTTTATTTGTATCAGAATCGAGTATTATTATTATCCACAAGACTCGCTTACTATTTCCTTTGTAGAGCTTTCTACTATAACTAGAAAACTGACACGCTATCTTAACTATATAATATATATGTCATCTTTCTGCTAATCAACAGCTTTTCATAGGTGTCCTTTGTCTATCTTGAATTTGTCTATGGCTTATAATTCGCAACCAATTCAAGCAACGCTAAGCAAACAATTCTAGACTCTTTCTAGACAATCTGTGTTGGGTTCCTTAAAAGGTTTAGTCTTCATCTAACGAAAGCTCTCTATGTCTTTGGAGTTTCTTTCAGCTGGGGTTTAGCATTCCTTTTGTTTTACATTTTGGCTACATTTTTCAGAAACATTTCTTGTCCTTGTGGACAGCCTTCTATTCTATGCTCAGCTCCTCAACAAAAACCCTAAATTTAAGAGCAAGTTTGGGCTGCCTTTACTAATATACATGAGATTCTGGTTGAGAACTATATAGATAGAAAAATCCATCGATTAGATCATCGTGATTGGACATCTTGATCTTCATGTTATTCCCAACATCTAGAGTTCATAGCAATCTATAGCATCTTGTGGATTTATTTTCGAATTGGAGCCAAGCATCTCCAGTTGCTGGCAAGTTAGTTGAGGCAATGTTATTTGAATGCGACTCACCTGGCAATTTGTTAATGTCAAGGGAGAGCTGTCGCTTTTCATCGTAGGACATGGGCTTGGCGGTGTCCTCCTCCTCGGAATCGAAGTTCATCACCTGGCTGGGCTTCTTTTTGCTGCTGCCGCGTGCAGCGGCACCTCCGCCAGCATTGGCACCAGCAGCTCCAGCTCCAGCGCCGGCATTGCTGCTGCCCTTGGTGCGTTTCGCATTGGTGGCACCGCTGCCACCGCCACCACCGCCGCCACCGCCACCGCCGGCTCCACCGCCACCGGAGGCAGCACCACCTGGACCCAGACCGGCTGCACCAGCAGCCGTACCGCCTGCTGCACCACCGGCAGCAACGCCCGCACCACCCTTGGCGCCGCGCTGTCCCTTGACCTTAGCACCTTTACTGCCACCGCCACCGCCGCCGCCGCCAGCACCGCCGGCTCCGGCAGCCGCACCGGCTGCCAAAGCGCCAGCCAATGCACCGGCTGCCGCCTTGCCACCGCCAGCTGACATGCCCGCTGCATTCACGCCGGCCGCATAGCCCGCTCCGGCGGCGGCTCCGCTGTCCGTTAGCTGCCTCATCGCCATGTCGTGGACATGCTGTAGCATCGCCGCGCCGGGCACGCCGCCAGCGACGCCGGCAGCACCGGCGCCCACCAGCGAGCCGCTCAACAGCGCCGACAAATTGGCGCTGGCTGCGCCGCCAGCATTGAGTGCGGCCACATTGGCGGGCAATGTGACGCCGCCGTGTGTGGCATTGCTGGCGCTGGGCGCGTGCTGCTGATGATGGGCACCGCCGCCGCCGCCGCCGCCGCCACCGCCACCGGAACCGCCGCCGGCACCGCTGCCGCTGCTCGGTCCGAGTGACTTTTTCTTTTCTTTGAGTTTTTTCTTGGCCTTCTTTTTGGCGGACGCCTCCTCGACGAGCTTGCGTATCTCCTCCTGGAGGCCCAACAGCTTTGATTCGAGCATTTTAAGCTTGGCGCTGCGCTCCTCATCCGAATTGGACTCGTTTTCGGTATCGCTGGAATCCTCGCTAGATGAATCGCTTGCATCGTGCTTGGATGTACTCGAATATCCATGATGATGATGATGGGCCGCATTCGCAACGGGCTCGTCGGGTATATTCGCGTAGCGCATCTCGAAGACATCCTGAAGCTTACGTCCCATGGCAACAACATCATGATCTGGCGGATTGTATTTGTAGCAGTTGGTGAATATTAATCGAACATCGGCCGCAAATTCCGGCGCGCTCTTATATTCGCGATTGTCCATTTTACGCTTAACGGTGCCCAGATCCATTGGCTTCTTAATGATATCGTGATAGTCGTGCAGGCCCAACAGTTCAGCGTCCACCGGTTTGTAGAAGGGCCAGGCATAGCCGGAGTGCTTCTTTGAGAACAGCTCCTTGAGTATCTCATTGCATGACTTTAGTGCATCCGATAGTTTCTCCTTGGACTTGGCACCCGGTACGCCACCAACGGCGCCGCCGGCAACCAGACCAGGCACACCAGCGACACCCAATGGTGACATTGGATAGCCCGAGCCCTGGAATGTAAGATCCTGGGTTTTTTCAAATTGATCGATTGTCAATTGTTCGATTGTTCAATTGTTCGATTGTTCAATTGTTCGATTGTTCGATTGTTCGATTGGTGCGTGATGTGTGTGCAATGACAATATAACGATAACGATGATGAACAAAACGAATTTCGAAAAATCAAAAAGAAAAATAAGAGAGAAAAGAAGAAGAAAACAAAGCGGCAATGGGTTAGAGCGTTACAAAATTCAAAGTTGTACAATTATGGTTTATCGATTTGTCAGTTTGACATTCAAGTACACACACACACACACATATATACATACATACATATATATATATATAGGTGTGTGTGTGTGTGTATGTGTAAATACATATTTGTATATATAGTCTGGTTGAGCATATTTCGAGCTGAATAACAATATTAAATGTGAATAAACAATCAATTGCAATATCGCAGCAAGGTGCCTAGTTTTTATCGATACGAATGCGTTATCGATATCGATATATGCATTGATCGAACAATCGTAATCGTTTTCAGCTCCAATACGCATCATCGCGTCAATCTCAAATCATAAGTGTAAAAGGCAAAGGCAGCGTTTAATACATGAGCTTATATACTTATTTCTGTTGTGTTGTGTTGTGTGTTGTGTGTGTGTGTGTGTGTGTGTTGTGTGTATTGGGTGTGTGTATTATTAGTAAAGTATTATTGTGTGTGCGTGCTTGTATTTTTTTGTGTGTGCATTAAACTCGCCGAGCTGCATTTCTACTTAAGCTAAGTCTGAGTTAATTTGTGCTTAAAAGTAAATAATTTCCCTTATGCCTAATACATGTAATTTCTAACTGCACTGAAATGCCAGTCAACAAATTGATTACAACGATTATCTTCGTATTTTTATACTCTTTTTGAAGTGGCGCCCGAGCAGGGCGTAGTTTTGATATTAGTGTCAAATGTAATTGTTAGATTTTTCGTTCAAATTTTCAATTCAGTTCGTCTCAAAGTCTCAAAAATTGAAACTCATTTTATTACGGGCATAAATTTTGAAATATTCTTCTACAAGCAAACAAAACTAAAAAAATAATAATAATAAAAACGTTATCTGATATATATATATGTATAAAAATATATGTATATATATATATATATCGGCAAACGAGAGAGAGAGCCCAGTGTTAAGGTGTGCAGCATTTGAGGTATTTAATATACATATATTTATATACAAATATAAAACTCTAAGCGAGCTGCATGGCGCCCGCTCCATATTGCTTGTCTGAAGGTATTATCAGGGATTTATATACCGGTCTCGTGTTTGCCAGATCAAGTCCCAAGTACATGTATATAACTTCTACACATTGGTCGATCTAGTTCGATCTCCAAATATATATATATATATATATACTTGATTTGCGGAGCAATCTGAACTGTGAGCGAGTATTAGGCAGTCGGCTGCATCCGACTGCAAGCACTTGAGGTGCTCTGCGTGGCTTGTATTTAATGCCAAGCTATCGAGTTTGTGGTATATACATTGGTGTACTAATATTAAGTATATACGAACACACACACACACAGCCACACACACATACACACACATACACACACATACGCAAGCAAAGCCGCACACAATTTACACAAGTTGTTTTAAGGAAACGTCTGACTATTGCCTCTTACCTTTTTGCCAATTACCTGACGATTCGATTCCCGCCGCGTCGCTATTTTGGCCGCTTTGGAGTCCATTTGGGCGTAGGGCGATTCGAATGCGTTCGCCGTTGGCGTTGTCGTGTCCGCCTTCCGTTTGACGCCCTTCTTCATTTTGGCCGGCTGCTGTGGTGGTATGACAGCATCGACAACACCGACTCCAACGCCCGCCGTGCTGTTCACATAGGCCTGGACCGCATTGGCGGCGTTAACGGCAGCCGTTGGTATTGTTACGCCGCCGCCGCCGCCGCCGGTGCCATCTAGGGCGGCAGCTGCGACAGCGGCGGCTGCTGCCGCTTGGGCTTGGGCAACCGCCGCTGCCGCCGCATTGCCGTCGAGCAGGGAGCTGTTGTTGAGCGAGGTCTGTTGGCCGCCAACACCATAGCTGGCGGCGCCGCTCTGCGCAGGATTTAAAAGGCTGGCCATTGCCGCATTTAGTGCAGCCGCATTTGTTGCGCCGGGCCCACCACCCGCCGCCGCCGCTGCCGCTGCCGCTGCCATTGCAGTGGTCGTTGTATTCGTGCTGCCCGGCACCGTATGCGGCGGCATTGTGCTAATCGGTGGTATGGACGGTGTAACGCCTCCGCCGGCCGTTGATGAAACCGTACCGCCCATGGCGGAAACTGGTCGGGCGTTTGCTGCCGCTGCTGCTGCTGCTGCGGCTGCTGCCGCCGCTGCTGCTGCTGCTGCTGCTTGTGCTTGGGCTGCTGCTGATGTTGGCGTTGATACCGCTGACGCTGATTGTGGCAGGCCCATGTTTGTTGGCAGCTGTGAGGATTGTGCCGCCTTGCCGCCAGCTGTTGGTGTACTTGTCGCTGAGGCTGTTGTCGCATTGCTGCTGCCAATACCGGCGCCGGCGCTGCTGCTGCTGGTCGCTTTGGGTGTGGTCGGTGCGCGTTGTTTCTTTTTGCCACCCTTTGCCGTAACCGGCTCCAGTTCGAGCTCTTCCTTGGGCATCGATTCGATCTTCTGTAGAAATACCTTTTCAAGCGTTTGGGCCATAACAACAACATCCTCGCCGGGCTTATTGTATACATAACAATTGGTGAACATTGTATTAAAATCGTGTATGGCCTCCTTGGCCGACCAATAGTAATTGTTCTCCAAACGCTTCTTGATCGTACCCATGTCCATTGGCTGTTTGATAATCTTATGATAGTCGGGCAGGTTCAGTTTCTTGGCATCGACGGGCTGTTGAAATGGCCAAGAGAAATGATGCTTCCATATGACCTTCATCACGGTTTTAATCAAATATTGCAATTGATTTGTATTGCGTCCCGGTCGCTCCTGCGGCGGCACAACCGGTGGCTGTACAATACCATTGATGGGCTCCACAGCGGGCTCATAACGTGGCGGTGGTTCGTTGGATGACATTGTTATTCTTATGTTTTTGCTGCTGATGCTGCTGCTGCTTGTTTAATGAATCAAATCAATCAGCTTATTGTGCTGCTATTGTTATTGTTGCTCTCCTCAAGTTGACTGAGACGGCCGACGCACACACACCACAACGCACACACGCCCGGGGCCGTCTCGTCCTGCTCTCGCGTCCTGTTTTGTACGCCCCGCTGCTCAAAGCAGCCAACGATGCACTGCTCGATCGCAGCTCCTTCTGCGTGTGTTGCGTGTGCAGCAACCTCTGCTCCCCCAATTGCTTCTGCTACTGCTACTGCTTCTGCTACTGCTACCGCTTCTGCTTCTGCTACGGCTGTTCCTTTTCCTGCTACAATTGCTGCGGATCTGCTTCAATCTTTTGACGGCTATTGCTGCTGCTGCTATTGCTGCTGCTGCTGCTGCTTCTTCGACGGCTGCTGTTGGCTTTTGTTTCCGTTGCATGCTCAGCAAATTGTTGTCAACTAAGGGAGAATGAATTAAAGATTCAGATTAGCCAAATTAATTCTTATCAAACGAAATTCAAATTCAATGCCACTATTTACCACCACTTGCCGGTGTCTTGGCGCGGCTCCTCCAGATGTCAGTTTTTAATATTTCTGCTGCTGTTTTGCATTCAGTTCAGTTGGCATTTTGCTGGCCAATTTCTATGTTTGCAGCTGCAATGTTATTGTTGATTTAATTATTTGGTGTATAGTTTATATCTTTCAGTTGTTGGTAGTTGGTTTTATTGGTCGGGTCGTCGCTCTGCTCTGCCAAACAGCGAGACTGCAATTGGAATAAGCAAAACATAAAGTTAGTTCAAATTGTTTTTAATTGTATTAAGTCTCGCTATTTCAATTCACAATCAATAATACAAAACATCGGCAGTTGAAAAGTTAAGCAAAAATGTAAACACACATTCTTTGATTTTGATTTGTATTCTTTAATACCGGCCGGGTTTGCCGGCTTGTCTTCGGCTTTTTACATGTTTTAATTTGAATCAGTTATTGGAATATACACACACACACGTACACACACACACATAAATTACAGACACACACACACACACGCATGCATGCAGCCGTGGCAGAGCGCGAAAATTAAATTTTGGTTTTCATTACATAAACAACAAAATGCCATACGATAAGCAGTTAAAATAAACAAAATACAAACACAAATGCACATACGCGCAGGCACACACATCCATCAGCATTGCTGCACACACACACACACACACACACACACACAGACGCACACTCACTCACACACAAGCGCGATAATTCTCCCGCGTTCGGCGAATGCGAAAATGCAACAAACACTCGAAGCAAAGTCGAAATAATATAAATACAAAAACAAAATTTTTTGGTTTTTGCTTGTTTTTTTTTCTTTAACAATTTTTTTTTTTTTTTACATACACACGCACACACACACACACGCTGCTGGTGCTGCTGCAGCTGCTGTTGCTTCTTCTTTGGGTTTTTTCTATTACGCTTTGGCTTGGCCTTTATTTTTCTTTTTGTTTTTTCGTATCTGTGCGTGTTTTTTTTTTTTCTTTTTTTTTTGTGTGTGTGTCAGTTACTTTGCCGCCGTTTTGGCACTCACGGCAACAGCGCGAACAGCACTAGTCGAAAAGAGCGGCGAGACAACTTTCGAAATTCGAAAATGACAGACAGACATACAGAGAGAGGGAGAGAGAGCGTCACACACACACGAGACACAATATGCTCATATAGAGCTGTCCCGTTTGCACACATGTCTGGCTTTGAAATGGTGCTGAGCAGCGCAATAAAATACAAATAGTTTTAGATACAAAATTTGAAAACATCATCTATTGTTGAATATATTTTGCTAATAGAATTCAATAAAACATTATAAAATGCGTAAGCGCACCGGTTAAACACAACCAGGTGAATACCGAACGAAAAACGCGGACGCATACACATGTATGCAACATATGCCTGCGTATTGGTGTTGATGGCAGAAATTCACCACACCGCCAACTTAACTTGGTTATGTTCCGTTCCAGCAGTAACAGGCAACATGATTCATGCCAAATAAAGTCTCTTTGTTTGTTGTTGATGCACTTTACAAGCGCACACACATACGCATACACAAGCACATGAAAATAAAAAGGCATACGTAATTTTGGTCCTAACACCCTCACCATCAATTCAGACGATATTGGTGAGCAGAAAAAAAACCAATGGGCTCTGACGGCCGCTACAAACAACAGGCGCACACAAACACGCGACACACACACCACACATACACACACACAAACGACAATCTCACACCACGCAAAAGTTCTCTCCCACAGTGTGTTGGCTGCACAGTGGTTTTGCGCTCACATAAATGCCATCCAAAGTGTAAACAATGGAGCCCAAAATTATATTGCAACTCGTCACATTACCACCCGCATATATACATATATATATTTAAATATATATGTAAATACACACACTCATACATATGTATGGTCATATATTAGCACTAACTGTATTTACATATTGTATATGCCGCCGGCCGGCAAATATATATTTCAGATTTTGCTTTCACTTTGCAACTCATTTTTGTTACATACAAACATAAATAGATACACATGTTTGCATACAAATAAATCAATCACGTAAAATTATCAATTTAAACCACTGTAGACATGACTGCTATGTGTGTATTTCGTACTCTTCACTGCTGACTGTAAATTTGCGGTTACGGTTTGTTGCCGACCGCTAAAAAAAAGAAAAATTCAGTGACGCGAAATTCAAGTCGGAAGAACTTCGAAAAAAAAAAAAAAAACGACAGTAAGTCAACAAATGACGTAGTCATTTCGTTCGTCGGGAGCGCCGATTGAATATTTTTATAACGCGCAATTATTTGTATTATTTAAAAACAAAAAGGAACGAAAGAAAATATACGCCAACGCGAACTGCAGCAGCAGACTTAAATCCCTCTCTCTCTCTCTCTCTCTTCTGATTTCCACTCTCTCGCTTATTCTCACAACAAAACAAAACATTAACTGCACACACACATTAACACGCGCACACAAGCACACACACACACACACACACACACACACACACACACATACGCATATACACGGACACCAAACGTGCTGATGTCCGCTGCGCTGTTGTAATTATGTAGTACAGTAGACGACTTTGAGTTTTCAACAAAAATTTTACGTAGAACGCAACAACAACAACAACGGCAGCAGCAGCAGCAACGTAGCGCGAACGTGCGCTCGGCTCGTACTTCGTGTTGAGAGCAGCGCGAGCGTACGTTCGTCTTGCTTCGTGTTTGCATTTGTGTATGTAACGGACCGCGCCATACAACACACCATATATATATATATATAAATATATATATATATATATGTGTGTTTGTATGTGTATGTGTACGTGTGAATATGAATTCAAGGCAAACACGATGACGTCTAGCTAGAAGAAGAAGAAAAGCAACAGCAGCAGCAGTGGAGCAGCAATGGCATGCATTTAACACTGTGGGCGGGTGATGGGGGCGAGTGTTCGGCATGAAAAAAAAAAAAAAAAAACAAATTTAAAATAAAAAAAAAAAACCAACAATTACCGCTGCTAACAGATCAATTAAATATATGCATGCTAGGCTATTCAATCGAAATTTATTTTGTACAGGCAAGGAAAAAGAGAAAATCACGTTGCAAAGTTCGTTTATCAACAAAGGTCAACAAAAGTTTTCGTCACTTTGTGCAAAATGTGCTCTAAAAATTCATGATTCTCTCTGTGCGAACGATATGTACACATACATAGAAAAGATTCATTCAAACTGAAGAAGCAGTACGCACGCACACATTCATTAATTGTTATTTATTTTATTTTTATTTTTGCCTGCATGCACTTGAACTACGCGTAAAAAAACAAAATTTATTTAAATAAATAAAATACAAGTGATCCACACAGACAGACACAAACACACATCGTACAACGCACAGTGCTGTGACTGAGCACTTGGGGCCAAATGCATGAGTTAGAGTGAGACAACAATTCGCTACGTAATATATATTCGAAATGCAAATATGGCGGCAGCGGCACGAGACACAAGCCCCAGCAACGACCAAAGAGAGCGAGAGAGTGACTTCTGCGTTTGTATATGTCACAGTATATGAGCGAGCGTGAGGCTCTCGTCTGCTCGTTTTTTTTTTTGATGCCAGAGTTCGAAAGTGAAAAAAGGCTGGCGGCGGCAACTGTTGTTGTTGCTGTTGTTGTTTTTGTTGTCGTTGCTGATGCCGCCGCCGCTGCTATTGTTTGCTGTTTCGCTGTATCTGCAAGTATGTGCCGACTACCGTAACGATACGGAGCGACGACTACGTCACGAACGTACAAATGTCGAATCGAATGTCGCGCCGAAGAGCGCGGAATGTTGACTGCCTGCCTCCTGCCAGCCTGCCTGCCTGCCTCTGCGCGCCTCTAGGTTAATAAATCGTGCTAATAGTGGCACGAATTTAAAGCCGGTTTACTTGCAGCAGCAGCAGCGGCAGCAGCAGCAACAACAGAAGCTGCAGTCGCCGTCGCAGTCGCCGACGCAGTCGATGTTGACAGCAAAAGCATCAATGAAATTGCGTGACGCCCAACTCCTACCGACCTTTCTATTTCAAGACCAACAACACATGACAATAAGCTGTCATATTTAATTCTAAGCAGTGTCCATACACACATACACACATGCTTAAAATAGCGAAAAGGTAAACAAGAAATTCTAGAGACTTTTGATTTTGCGCGCCAAAATGCAATTGTCACACACACTCACTCACACACACATACAGATACAAGCACAAAGAGATACAAGCAGATGCAGAGGTGAGATGACAAATTAAACGGTACATGCACAAAATGCCGGCCACATTTTGTTTACATTATTTTTGTGGTTTTTTTTTTTTTGTGGATGACAAAAACTGAATTCTCGATAAATTGATTTTATTAAGTGCCATCGTTAACAGAAAGCAACAAATTTCTAATTGAATACGAGTTAAATTTACATTTCATAGTAGAATTTGAAATTTTTGGAATTGTTTATTCCGCGGGGTAGCAAAAAATGGCAATGCAGCTGCCCTTTTGGGCAAACAGAAGCGAAGGGTTGCTCGAGGAAAGTCGCGGAACGTGTCATTCCAGCATAGAATTAACAGTAAGCCAACTAGCAACAGTTCATAGCGAGTAATCGAAAGCTCGATCGATAAATTCGCACTGGCATTGCCTGCGTGTGTGTGTGTGTGTGTGTGTGTGTGTGTGGGCGGTAGAGGCGCGCAATTCTTCATTTTGTGGGGCATGCGCCACGTGCAGCGGACTTTGCTTCAAATTGAAGCAACTTGTTTTAAGCAATTAGTTGACTTTACTTACATTTTCTTGTTTTATTTTGTATTTTTCAATAATTTGCTGTTTTGTTTTGGTGTGTAGTTAATATCCAAACAATTCGAACGAATTGTATTTATAGTTGTTGTTGTTGTATGGGGATATCCGAAATTGTGTTTTATTGTTGTTGTTTTTGTTGCGGTTTCCTTATTGTTGTTTGTTTTATGTGTAGCTTATCGATTTGCTTTGATTTGTTGCTGTCGCTTTGACTTGATTATTATTATTATTATTATTTTTGTTGTATGTATATAAATATATATAGATTTTTAACAAATACAACACGCAAATTCTAAATTTCTACACAATTGTTAAGTGTGTAACTGTAAAAAAATACAAATATACATTATATATTTATATATATCGAGGCACCACAGATTGTTGATGCGTGAGAGAACATCAACAAAAAAAAAAAAAAAAAAAATGCGCACATGACGTAGCGGCTACGTTATTAATGACGGGACGAACACAGCAGCGGCGACGGCGACGACGACGACAGCGACGGTTGCGAACACGACAAACTACGAGACGTCATTACGTTACGTTAAAAACAGCGGCGGCAAAACAGCGCGATACACTATCGCAGACACACACACACGCACATATATATATATATATATATATATGTATATGTATATATGTATTCAGGCGCACATGCATAAGGCTACATTACGTTAATGTATTTACGTGCATACACGTAATAATAAAATAATAAAAAGAATAAGTATATTTTTATTTGTCGCTATGCATATATTTTACTGCAATTTATTTTGCAGCTAATTACATTTTTTTTTGCGCGTTTGCGATTTTGATTTTGTGCGTGTTTTTTTTTTTGCTTTATTATTTATATGTATATTTTTCATAAATTTATTTTGTTAATATTCACTGCCTATTGCTGCTAAGCGCACGTACACACACTTAAACACAGACACACGCTACGATACTCACATACAGACACACACACACACTCGCACACACACACACACACAGCGACGACAGATAGCTTCTTCTTCTTCTACAGTGCTGGTTGGTTGCGCTGTTCGTTGCCACCACCAAAAAAAAAAAAAAAAAAAAAAAAAAGTAAAACGAAAAAAATTGTCATGTCCATTGAAGTCTCACATTTTCAAATTCATTTTTGGCGCAAAATTCATTGTATTTGTAAAAATTATTATTTACAATCACAACGCGTTACAATAAATTATCACATTTTGCACAATTTATATAATTTTAGCTAGTTTTTACCACAATTTAAAAGCAATTTCTACACACCGATATACGTACGCGCTACAATTTTCGACATACGCGCGTTTCTTGTGAGTAAAGCAGCCGTCGTTGTCGCCATCAAATATACAAAAATTTTTCGAAATTACTCAAACCGCGAATACACACACACACATACACAGCGAAAGGCGAGCGCACGCGTACACCAACTGCTCTATAGCGGCACTGCTCACATTCAATGCCGATGGGCGTGCGTGCAAGTGCAACCGACATATTATCGCTGCATTAGCTACGGAGAGCGCGAGAGCGGACACTGTGCATGAGAGACATGTCGAAAGCGTCTGTGTCGCTCAATGTCCGTTGGTGGTGGCAATGGTAAATGCTGCTACTCTTGGTGGTGGTGGTGAATTTTCGATTGTGTGTGCGTGTGTGTGTGTGTGTACAAAAGCAACGAGCAGCGCGCATGAAAAAATGCACGATGAACAAACGTAACGAGGAAACAAAATGGCTGTCTCACAATATTTTTATAGCATCGGTTATGTTGTTATACGCCTTTTCTCAGTCTAAGCACCAATGCGCCCCTAATGCCCAAACAACAATCAGGTGAATATCCATTCGGTTTGTTTTGTTTGCGCCGCTTGTACCATTTTTTAGCATTTACATATATTATCTACATTTTAGCATTGACTAGCACATTTTTTCGTGTTCATTTCAGCACGTAGCGACGCGAGTACTATCGATTCGGATTCTTAGCTCGATACATCGATATACGTGCAAATTGGCGATAACAAACAACATAATTAATCGAACAATCGATGTCAACTAGCAACTAACAGAACATATCAACGTGTGTCATCACAAACCAGCTGCTAACGCACAGCAGCTGTTAGCGTCGCAAGTCGATAAGTGCACATTTAGTTGAGACGATAAATATAAGTCAGAGCTTGCGAAAAGGGTAAGTACAAAATTAATTGTAGAAAAACTTAAAACCGTGTCCAGTATGTGCAACGAAAAACTTAAACATCAATAACAATAGCTAACAGTGTTTAAATATAATAAAAAGCACGACGCCATTTCTGCTTGTTGGGGCCAGCGGCGATACACACACGCGTGCGCATGCACACAGACAGAAACACATGCACACACACACACGCACACCGAGAGAGAGACAAATATCTATACCAACACAAATACCAATACCAATACCAATACCAATACCGATACGCATTACAGAAGCAGCCGCAGGTCGTCATGCCACGAGGAAAATACGTTAACCACAAAGGCCGCAGCCGCCACTTTACGTCGCCCGAGGAGCTGCAACAGGAGTCGGAGGAGGAGAGCGATCAGTCGACTGGCAGCGAAACCGAGGAGCAGGCCGGCTCGGCCGGCACATCCAAACAGCCGGCCGGAACGGGCGGCAGCGCCGCGGCGCGCAAATCAAGCAGGCCCGCCGCACAGCGACAGAAGCAACAGCAGCAACAGCGTCGCAGCTCCACCGACGAGGAGTCCGACGATGATGACAGCGATGATGATTCGGAGGCGGATCAACGTGATGCCAAAAAGGGTGTGGCCGCACTTATCGAAATCGAGAATCCCAATCGTGTGACCAAAAAGGCCACACAAAAATTGTCTCAAATCAAAATTGATGATGTGGCCGGCGGCGGCAGCGGCGGAAGCGGCGGCGGCGGCGGCGGCTCAAACACCAGCAACACCAAGCCGGAGCTGTCCCGTCGCGAACGCGAACAAATTGAGAAGCAGAAGGCGCGACAGCGCTACGAGAAACTGCATGCCGCTGGCAAAACCACCGAGGCGAAGGCGGATCTCGCCCGGCTGGCGCTCATCCGGCAGCAGCGAGAGGAGGCGGCTGCCAAGCGAGAGGCCGAAAAGAAATCTGTCGCCGATCTGTCCAAGAAGCCGCTAACCAAGTAGTTAACCATAGCCGAGTAGTAGTTAGTCGGGCCAGACGAACGGGATTATGGCAATCGCATTCAAATAATAGTTCCAATTTTCGTATATTAACAAATTTGTTGCATTTTCGACAGCAACAGCAACAACAACAACAGCAACAAATTGTGAGAAACACACTTATGAATACCCTATAAAATGCAATTGCTATACATAAATGTTTATGATGTCATATTCAACGTTTGATTTTGCCGCTTTCCGCATTCAACAACAATTTCACTTCCTTCTTTTTTTTTTTTACACTCTAAATCTAACGCAAATCCTTTTGTAATTGAACTATATACAAATATATATATATATATTCGTATATATATATATATATGTGTGTGTATGTTGCATATAAAGCATAATTAAGCTCCAGTTACGACTGTAGCTCATTTCTTTTAAGCTCTAGTTAGAGCTGGCCGCGTGTCGTGTTTGCCGCACCACGTGCTCGTGCTCGTGTTCGTGCTCGTGCTTTTAGTGGCAACTGGAGTTGGTTGCACGGCGTGTTCGTGCCTCAAATTTTTGTGGCTTAAGCACTCAAATTAGACAAAATTGAAGCTGAAAAAATAATGTTTAAAAAAAAATTGTTTTTTTTTTTTTTTTCTCGATAAATATGCAATAATTTGTAGTTATTTATTAACTTTTAAGCAGCAATCGCCCAACATCTCGTTAGGTTAATAAAACATAAGCACACGAAAATTGAGCAAAATTATGTAACAACAACAACAACAACAAAACAAAAACGAATTCAAAATAATAAACAAAAACAAAACGAATTGTTTCGTGTTCGTGTTCGTGTTGAACAAAATCGGACACGCACGTTCATATATTGAGCTGCCTTTCAAAAGTATGCAAGATTTAGCTTTTCAAATTTTTATATTTTGTTCGCCCTAGGCTAGTTTATTTTCCGACCAAATACCTTTTCCTCTTGCTCAATCTTAGCGATTGGTTTTCACCAATTTTCCACACTTGCGTGTGGAATTTTATCCACATATTTTAGACTTCAAATGAAACGTGTTCAAATGTAAATATAAGAAACTAATTTCTTTTGTATTGACATTTGCACTTAAGCGCATAATCTTATCAAGATCGATGTGTACTATATATTATTGGGACAATCGCTTGCAAATGAAAAGTTTGTCTTGGGAAACATCTAAGCTATGTATAGAAAGTGTGAGGGTATTTAGTCGTCGTTTTGTAGCTGTTTCGGGAGAATTGCAAAGCTTATCCATATAGAAACTTATTGTAATTGCCGAGCGATTGTACAGCTTTATATGATATAGTAAAACGATCTTGTTAGGATTTTGTACGTACATATAAGGAGCATCATGGTAAAAGACAATTCGTGCCTTGACTCACATATTTGCTCGATTTATAATATAATATAGTATCTATGTATTATCTAGTCAAAAACAAATGAAAGCTAGTTGTACGCTTAGAACTATTAGACGACGCCCCAGACCTCCTCGAAGGCGGTGCAGAGCTTGGAGCAGGCAATGGCCGCTGACAGTGGATAGTTGCTAATGGAGAACAGCTCCTCGGTGTAGTCCGTCTTGAGTGCGCCGTGGGCGAAGGCGCCAATTACCATGACAACGGGCTGGTCGTAGGCATCGCTGCCCTCCGGGCCGTGCGGCACCAAATCGCGGCAATTGCTAACCAGCTTGCCGGTGAAGGACATCGCATACTTTTTACAGCCGACAGGCAAATGATCCGTAATGGGATTCTTGATGACGCTCATCAGGCGGCGCGATGAATCGCTGGCGCGTATTTGAAACTTGTGCAGCAGCTGGACCATCAGGCCGGCGAAACGCTTAAATGTGCGCGGTATACGTGTCTGTGGATTGATCTCAATCAGCACATTGTGCTCGGTGCGAACAAACACCTGCAGCAAACCGGCACGATTTAGCGGCGAGTCGAACAGCATCAGCAGGCATTGGTGTGTGATGTCCGGGCGGCAGCTGCCCGGATCTCGTTGATTTTTGCGCATTATGCCCGCATGATCGTCACAGTTGAGCAGCTCGAATGTGTTGTGCACCTGTATGCAAAGCATTGCTGATTAATATCATTTAAAATTAAATTAAATATTGAATCGAAATGGGTTGGCACCTTCACCGTCTCCAGCTGCGCACCCTCGAGCACAATAATTAGGCGTTTCTCGCTGGCATTCAAATGGAGCACCTTGAAGTGCTTCTTGTCCAAATCGAATTCCGGATCGTCCGCTTTGCGGCCCACAAATTTACGCTTGCGATTTATTGTTTTGCCCTGGCCGCCCATTTTTGTTATAGTCTTAACGTTGCTTGTACAAAAACAAAGGCCATGTGCACGCGGCGATGGCCACAATAGAGATGAGCCGATAGCAGCTCAACAGCAGCTCAGTTATCGATAGTGCGACAGCTGATGCTGTTAACTCGCTGCAATACGAAAATCTATCAAGCTAATCGATAACATTGCCGCTGACTGATTTTGCGCTTTGTCATCACTAAAGTGAATCTGGCATATTTTGATTGCATTGCCTTTGTTGACAAAGCCGAGGCTAGATTTTAAATATTTAAAACATTAATATTTGACATGGCTGCCGCCCGTCGTGACATAGCGCCGTTCTTGCAACGTGTGCGCGCTTTTCTGCTGGGCGTAAGTATGCAGCAGCTGCCCTGCAAATTGGCCTCTTTTTCGCGCACGTTATGTAAGCCCCGAACATTTTCTTTGGGCATTTCCTTTCCTTTATAGCGCGAACATACCGTTGCGCTGCGCTTTGAGGATGCCCTGGCCGATCGCACACAGCCCCAGCCAGAGCTGCCGGACGGCCCCTCGCACATCTTATCGGCCAATTACTATTGCACGCGCGATGGACGACACGAGGTCCAGCCGCCCATTGACCTGGTGCAGCAGCAGAAGCTGCTCGATGCGACTGGCGATGCAGCTCCCAAAGCTAAAGCTAAGCTGCCCACGCCCGGCAAAGTCTATGCCTGGGACTGAAGCACTGAGAGGATCAACTGTAGAAACCGCAATCTGTGTTTAATTTAACTTTTTTTTTTTTTTCTTTGAGGAAGACCTTAAAATAGAGACATTGTTAAACCATGGAGCATTTCGCACTTACTTGCCAGGGAAGGCGCACAATATTGTCTCTTACAAAATGCGTTGCTATAACATACATAAATAGGTTATAGTTGTTAACTAATAACTCTTGTAAACCCTTGCAGAGGGTATTCCAATTTCTGCCTGAAACAGGAGATGTCTCCGACTTCAAGTAGGGTACATACTATGTATACCCTTGCAGAGGTTATTCCATATTATGCCTGAAACAGGAGATGTCTTCGACTCCATATAGTGTATACACTATGTATTATAGATCAGGCCGACTAAGCATATGAGACATGCAGCCACATGGATGGACATGCCAGCATCTACTTGGATATCCAAACTGATAAGGAATATATATATGTACTTGATGGTGCTGGATACGACACCTTCTATGCATAAGGAAAGGTCATTCCATGAATCTAATTGGAACATGCAAAAGGTACACAGCTCCCCCATAAAGACCCCATAAAGTATATATATATATGCTCGATCAGTCGATGTGGCCATTGCCCGTCTGTCTGTTTCCATGCGAACTGGTTTCCCCATTTTAAAGATATCTTCGTAATACTCTGCAGAAGTGTCTCCGGCTGGATCGAACTACTATATTGTATAGCTGTCATAGGAACGATCGGTCGAAAAGTAATATTTCTTTTCAAGATATCTTGACCATACTCGCAGAGCACTATGAGAGGCCTGGGTCTGCAAAGTCTCCTTCATTCTCGCTAAGAATAAGATGGAGTTCGGAATTTGAATTGAGTTGAGATATTTCTCATTGAGTGCATCGAGTTTATTACACATTTTGCTTTAAAGTGAAGCCTTGAACCAGTCCAGCTGCATCTAGATGCCAGTTAATGAATCGCTGCAAATTGCACGAAGCCGGGATCTATGGAGGCGCATGTCCCGCACCTGGGCGACTTAATTATGCGCAACATGCCGGACAACGCATTGCAGAATTCAATGGAAACAAACCGTAAGCTGCCTGCTCTCGGCTACTTCACGTAGTGTTTGTCAATTTGATGCGGCAATACTTTGCTCCGTACTCGGACAGCGTGCCACAAAGCTCTCAAAGAGAGGGCAACTAAAGAGTTCACTCGATTATGTGGTCGGTTAGAATGAAAAAGAGTTGTTTTTTCTGCCATCAAAGGCACTTTTCAACTGACATAAGCTGGCCAACATCATAATACCCTTCTTTGGGGCATGCGCATTTTGTCACGGATTGTGTAACGCATTTTGAAGAAGGTATCCCATCAAGTACGTATATCGATTTCATATATCTTTATCTTTCCCTTACATCTCTATATATATTCTTATAGATTCTCGATCTTTCTTCTATATGTATTCTTAGTCCTATATATCTTGTGTATATCTTTTTCTCTTATACATATGTATAATCTTATTTCTGTTTCTGTTGTTTGAAAAACTTCTTCTCTTTCAAGCTAGCTTCTCCTTCTCGCTTCCTTCGAGCTCTTTAAGACTTTTAATATCTTCCCCTATCTACTCTATATATATTCTTAGTTCTATATGTCTTATTCTTTCTCCTATTTCTATACACTTGTATAAAGAACTTCTTCTCTTTCAAGCTAGCTTCCTCTTCTCTCTTCCTTCGAACTACTCTTTCATATAAGTAGCTCCGTAAGACCTCTTGCCCTAACTTCGCTTCGAGTGAGAAACATTCGTGAAAGAAAGCCAGGTCTTGCAAACAGATGTCCATAAGGGTATTCAGTGTTCGTCATGGCGTAGATGGGATGTCGCTGGCTCGCATTATGTTGATTTTGCTCAGTGTATGCACACATTGGCTAGCGCATGTGTACATTGTCTATGTGGGCAGTGGGCATGGCCCAGAGTCTGACACAGTAAGCTTTATCTGCTTTACAGTCCCTAGTTGGCTACTTAATTGCATTAAGCCGGCGACATTGGCGTTGCCAACGACAACGACAACGACGGGGGACGAGGGACGAGGGACGATGATGTTGGCATTGATTCAGATTATATTGCTGCATTATAAATGAAAAATTCTGCGAATGCGCTGCGTCCTGCTCGGTATAAAAGCATGCTTTTAAGGCTTTCAATTAAAAGTTGCACACAACAAATGCAAAAAAAAAAACAAAAAAAGAAAAAGCTGAGAGAAAAAAAAAAGTTTATCAAAGCGTTAACGAACCATTTTTTGTTCTCCCTGGGTACAGGGTGAGCGTGGGTGAATATGGTAATATGGTCATGGCTTCAAGGCCTTGTAGCCCCGCCCCCTGACAGGACATTCTGCACAGATCAGAGAACAGCTCAAAACATTTCAAAGGCGAAACGTTTGTATGGCGTTTTTTTCTTTTTGAAAATTCACTAAAAAAAACCTCATTTAATAACCTGGTATATAGAGCTGGGAAAACCAGTTCCAAGAAAAAAGGGGAAAGAACGGCAAAAAAAAGAAAATGTTGCCTCATTTTTCACACGGGCTAGAGATTCCTTGAAACATTGCCGACGTCATTTCAAATATGTTTTTCCAAAGATCTGTGAATAATAACTAATAACTCGTTTTTGCAAAATATTGCTTGCGGTTTTTGCTCAATCATGCTTCAATCATTCAATCAATTGGGCTGTCAATCAGCGAGGCAGGCAAACAGGCTTAAATTCAGTTCGATTTCATCAATCAATCATATTCATGCTCAGTCAAACAATCAGTCAGTCAGATTAAAAGGCAGTCAATCTGTCAATCAGGCAGTCAATCAATTCTTTTAACTTTTATGGCTTCTTTGAGTATTCAGTTATTTAGTTAGTCAATCAATTAGTCAGTCAATCAGGCCGTTAATCGGTCAATCAGTTAATCAGTAGATTATGAGGCTAATAGTTCAGTCAATCAGGCACTCCGTGCTACAGTAAATAAGTTGTTCAGCTTGTGATTTAAAACGTGATTTCAATCAATCAGGCCGTCAATTCGTCAATAGGGCTGTCAAAAAGTCTAGCTGACACTAGCTGACGAGTGAGTAAATCATGCTGTCAATAGTTCTGCCAATCAATCAGTCCGTCAGATTAAATGGTAGCCATCCTGTCAGTCAATCAATCAGTCAGTCTGTCAATCAATCAGTCAGTCAATCAGTCACTCAAATATTCATTCAGTTAGTTAGAAATTAAAGAAGCTTATGATTATGCAATCATTTAGTCTGTTAATAAGCCAAAGAGCCAGTCAGTCAGTCAATCAGTCAGTCAGGCAATCAGACACTCAAATATTCGTTCAGTTAGTCAATCAGTCAGTCACTAAAATTAATTGACAGTCATTAAAAAAGGAGCTTTGAAGCTTATGATTATGCAGTTATTTAGTCTGTAAATTAGTCAGTGGGCTAAAGAGCCAGTCAGTCAGTTCGTCAGTCAATCAGTCAATCAGTCAGTCAATCAGTTACTCAAATTGACTGACTGTTAGTCATTAATAAGAGGGGCTTTCAAGTTTAAGATTATGCAGTTATTTAGTCTGCGAGTCAGTCGGCCAAAAAGCCAGTCAGCCAGTTTGTCAGTCAATCAATCATTCAATCAGTCAGTCAATCAATCACTAAAATTGACTGACAGTCATTAATAAAAGGAGCTTTCAAGTTTATGATTATGCAGTTATTTAGTCTGTTAGTCAGTCGGCTAAAAAGCCAGTCAATCAGGCAGTCATTCAATCAATCAGTCCGTTCTTTTTCTTCATTCTCAGAATGCGCTTTGTACTGCAGGTAGTAAGGTAGTTCTGCACTTAAACAGAATACTAGATCAGAGCACTTGAATGCATAATGCGCACCGACGTGTCCGCTGGTCCATTTTGCCACCCTGCTTGTGAGAGAGAGATGGTGAGATAGATAGAAATGGAATGGAATGGGAGGGAGAGCTGTCACAATGCGTTTGTTGTGCCGTGTGTGGGGCCTGTCACATTAAAGTGCAGCTTTAAAAACTGATGTGTGGCAACTCTAGCACTCAGACTCGACCCATCATTCATGCGACCGATCCACTGAACGTTACTTTTTCTGTCAGCCTGCGAATGTGCTTATCTGTGTGCATGTGTGTGTGTGTGTGTGTGTGTGTGCGTGTGTGCATCCACTCCCAATTGCCCAACGTCGTTTAGTGTTGTGTGCGCTAGAGTGCCACTCCCCGTTAAGGGGCATAGTTGGGGGCGGGCGATGCGATACAATTGCATGGTAATCGAATTATGTGGCAACTCTGCTTTGCTTTTCAGTTTTCTTCTTCGTGTCTTGTTGTTGTTGCTGTTGTTGTTGGGCCGCACACACACACACACACACACACACAC